TTATAAATTACTAATCATTCTCGCAATGACAATTAGGTACAATTTTTGTAAAAATATGTACTTTTAAATCTTTTTATTTTGTTTGCAATTCTGTGTTCTTCGCAAATGCAGAAAAATTGTTATTAAAGCAAGAATAAAAATCAGGGAAATATATATATTATATGTGAAAGCCAGGAATTACCAGGGAACCTCCAAATCGAAAATCATTTCTGTATTCACTGGCTTCAGTTTGGAATTGACAAGAAGGTACATATTTTTAGTTTCGAAATAAATTGAAGTCTCTTATTTTATGGGTTCTTCGAAGTCCCAAGAAAAATGCGAATAATTCGCAACATACGAATGTAAAGGTCTTTTAAAAACCATATAATAGTGACCTGAATTTATAACTTGTCCTGCAGAAATGTGACAAAACGGCCTTCAACAACTGGAGCAAACGTGATCTTTTAATACGTTTGGATCTCAGTTATAAATATCAAAGATAACTAACTAGTGAAAAATGCATGCTGCAGGGCTATTATTGCATTATGTACATTTTCACTTGTAATTATTACTTATGGGCTGCAATTTAATCTAGAAACAGTTATATAACCTTCTCTCACAACGCCTTATAAAATGCGCATGTGTCTGTGCTTAATTTTTAAGGATACTTAAATGTTGTCTTTATACATATTTGCTAAAACATTTCTCTAGTATTAATATATCATAAAAACATCATTCTTAAGATCTAATAAAAAGAAGACTGAATGGGAATTTTTTAGGTACACAAGTTTTATTTGATATTAATTTTGTTTGTAGAAAGTATCTGATACCAAATTTTTGAATGCAGATTATTATTATTTCTACCGATAAAGTGTTGTTATTGTCTATAAAACAGATGAAGTAATTCAAACGTTTATTTAAACGAAAATATAATATGTTTTCCTTTTCAATCAGTAATTAAATTACATACCAATTTGACCGGCATTTCTGTTCTCTGTTCAGTATTTGAAACCTTTTTTTTCAAAACTGCCGATGTGAAATATAAAACGGTAATTTATGCAATGACTATCACTAATGTTATATAATGTTGCCATTTATATTTGTGTTAGTGTCCAATGAGAAATTCAATTTATTTATGCCGATCACATACGTTGATCCCAATAACTCATTATGCCAAAATTAGGCCTTCAAGAACCCGGTTGTTCGATATTTTTATTCTTGCTTATAACACCTCGGGACATCTAAATTTAGTTCTTAATCACCTTCTGATAGTAAGACGTTTAGCTAAAGATATACGCCAGTGGCTAGTTAAAATCCGAACGTAGGGATATTCGATTATTTACATTTGAATGTTCGGTTAATTTAAGACAGTTTTCAGAGAAACTGTGTTTGGTGAAGTTTTTTCCGTACCTGTATATGCATATAGTTTAAAAGTGTTTGAACTCTGTCTATATAGGGTGTTTATAATACAATGGTACGTGATAGATAAGTTAATTTTTTGCAAAAACATGCTTTTTGGCTTAATTTTTCGAACATTTTAAAAGCATTCGTAGAAACTATTTTTTTTTTCTTCTGAATGTTACTGTCAATAAAAATTTGTATTTCATTTTAGTTGCTAACATAGTAAACAAGGACAACAAATTTTAATTGCCTAAGGTAAAATATTAAGCAATATAGATAGAAACGCACTTCCTACAGTTTGTAGGTGTAAATGTTGCAAAATCAACAACATTCGATAAGCAAAATAACAAAAAGTAAAACGTTTCTAAATCAGTTTTAGTGGCTCAGAAATAGAGAAAAAAGTTAATATTGTGAAAACAAGCAAGTAAACAAAAAATATTTTCGAGTTGTTTAACAAAATTCCATTTTAGAAGTATTTGTTTAGTTTCATAAATAATTATCATATGGCCACTCAAGGCAAATGAAAGTAAGGGATTTAATCTTAATAATTCTTTTAGACATTCATTTAATCGTCTCAGCAAAAGAATGGAATCATTTTTCAGTTGTTATTGAACGAATCAAATTTTTGGTCCAGTTTATTTTTAAATCATCTTTTATAAATTACATTTAAAATTACGTATTTTAAAAGGGACTGTTTACATAAGTATCCCAGCACTTGCTTGGTGTGTCTGGAAATGGTTTTGTTGGCGCATGAATCAATACAATGAGTCTTTTGACCTAACCCGCAGTCTCCTAATTGTATTATATCGTGATAAGCATTAAATTACAGGTAAACCATGTATATCATTGTAATTATTATCGTGCGTAATTTTGTTCAATCTTTACTCTTTACAGTACACGATGTGTCTCAAAACTGAGGTATATAGGCAGATATTCAGTACGACTTCAAAATAAAAAATTACAATTTATTTAATCAGACAATTATTACTTAATCACTTTTTTATTAGTAGGTAAACTCATTTGAATTAAATATACAACATTGTAAACAAAAGGTAATATAGTTGTGAGATAACATTTTCATTTCAAGTACCAATTACTGTTAAAAAAAACACGTGATATCTCATACAATTATTATTTTTATTAGTTTATTATCGAAAAGTTATTTTCATATAAACTACTGATGTAGTTGTAATATATGTACAATGTGTACGTACTGGACAATCAAAAGAAATGAACATGAATGAAATAACGTAAACCTAAGGATTAATTTAAAGTACTACACGTACTTTAGGTATATGGTTTCAAAATAAAAAATCCCTTGCAAACGATTTCGTTCATGCGCCCTGCTAGCAAGTCCCGTTTTACCATCGAAATCATCGATAAACATTTTTCTTCTGCTCATGTTTTAGAATTGAAATAATTAAACAATTTTCAACAAAATATATATAGAAGAAATTATGAGTGCTGTCAGCACAGGGAAAAGCAGTATTACGTAGTTAGTATCAGCAATTTCTTATGCTGAAGTATACGATGTGTTGCATACGTATTTACAGATAATTCCTTTAAACTTAATTTTTCAAACAATTTTTAACACAAAGAAAGTGATTATACAAATTTCTCGCAATAAGTTATTTAAAACCTTTTGGGCATGTTTTCAAAATTTACCTTTACGTTTTAGGTACCTACGTACTTAACTGCAGTAATATTGGTAATAATAATTGTAATATAAAAATAAATATAAAGTAAAATTTTATGGTTACTGTTTGCTCCGTTTTTTAAATGCAATATTTTCTGTTGCAGGACTTGGTGAAGAGTCACCTGATGTATACGGTACGTGAAGAGGTGGACGTTCTTAAAGAAAAAATAGTAGAACTGATGGATCGCATTAACCAATTAGAAATAGAAAATAATTATTTGAAGGCTAATGTATCTCCTGAAGTTTTAACGGCATTGAACAACGGCGCTGCACGAGTCCTGGCCGAGAAGGAAGCAGACAAATCCAAAGAAGAGGAAAATGATGGGCAAACACGTGAACAGTAAATTGAAGTGGTTTACTCTCAACAAAAAAAGGTTAACAAAACAAATATTGGTTATTGTTTTGTTTGTTTAAAGGGTTTTTTTTCATTATTGTTTTTTTTTGTAATGGGAACTAATTAATGTCATTATCAACTGTCTTAAAATGAACATGACAGATCCTGTAGGTATATGTGTAATATCTAAATTTGAAACCTCTTGTAGCGGGTTGGTTTTAAAAATTTCTGTATATCCAAAGGTTAATGGAAGCATAGTGATGCATTTTTCAATAAAAATACGTATTTAATGATTAAAATAACATTCTTGAACGGTTTCCATTAATCTTAAAAAACAGTATGAATAATTACTATTCATGTTTAGTTGTCGTGATCAATGTCAATGGCCGTTCATTCGTTACCAAGTTATAATTTTTCATAATTACAGAAAAATTAATCGTAAATAAAAAAAAAATGTGTGAATGTTATCGTGTAACCGCTGACCATATCAAAGCATAGGAAGTAAGACTAAAACTAGAAAGTTATGACTGCAAGGTGCTACCAAATGTGATGATGTAAACGATTAGAGTAAAATTTAGGTTAGTGTTTGACTTCCTGAACTGCTCTGGTATGGTATCAAATAAAAATTCTGCTGGTAAAAAATACCATTACATTTTTCTTTTTCGTTATTAGATCTTAAAGACTGTAGGTTGGTACAAACGATCGGCATTATTTCTCCAAAACAGGTAGCTGAGAGAAAAGTTTGGCCTTTCACTGGTAGTATATCAAGTTATGACAAAATATCGCCATCTACTGATATTTACTACTAACTGCAGTGTCAGCATAATAAGAACTTGCTGCTCAGTCACTTATAAAATTTCCTTTTCTTTTTTTGGCATTCTTTAAATAATAGAATGTATATTTAAAATACAAAACTAAAGATATTATTAATGCGTAAAGGTCAAAAATATCTCGTAAAGTGGGGAGTGTGAATCATCATACTCGCCTTATTTTTTTTTTTTAAAATGTGTAATGCCCATCGTTTAACAACAAATTTTTCCAATTAACAGGGGCAGAAGTCCTATTTTATTTACTTTAGTGTAGAACTAACCCACAAGGCTGTGCTAAATACTTTAGTAGTAACAAAATAATAGTACGAATAAATTTCGTACAGTTATTTTGATTAAAACATATTTATGCAGTTAAAGGTAATCATTTTGATTATCTGTTCACTGTTTTAATTTCAACTTCAATTTTTCAGAGAAGTTCAAATATCAGCTGTTGTTTGCAACCAAATAAGCTTAATGCTTTTGTAGTCTTTTAACTCTCAATTACCCCCATTAAAAGGCTACATTGATCCTATTCATCAACAATAAATTTCTTGTTCTAATTTATTCTTAAAGTAAAAAAAATTAAGTTGCTATAAAACATTGCAACAAAACTGCATACATTTGTATTTGTGATCTAGAAAAGCAACTATTTTATGAAAGTATTAAAGGGTAATATATCCTTTTTCTTTTTCATTTAAGAAGCATAATGTGATTTTTGTTCGTTTTAGTTATTATAATCGTTTAGTTTCTCATATTTACGTACATTCCACATTGTTCAGTTCGTTTTACTTTCCAAGTGTTTTATCGTCATTTTAAGACTTGGAATTAAAAAGAAAAAGGGTGATACAACTGTCGAAGTAATTTCTGATGTTTAAATAATATTGGAAATAATAGTAAGGTAGTGGTTTCACTCTGAAATAATCACTGTTAATCTAATAAGAGCTTCATTATCATTATTTTATGCTAAGACTTTATCAAATTAATTAAGAGTTGATATATAACCTTCTCTTATCATTAGATTAGTACTCATTTATTTTTTTTTTGTATATTATAGTTTTAGAGTTTATAATTGTTACTGTGTTTCGTGCCATACTCCCGTATGGTTTACAAGTTTTTTCACTTGTAATCAGTTGTTCTTTGTTCAGAGTTTCTAATAAAATATAAAATGCATTATAATTAACTATTGTCCCTATAAGTCTTAATTCAAAGAACATAATCCTCTCTTCCTTAAATTGTTTCTACAGTGAAACCACCTTTACAATGGTTAATTTGCAAATAAAAAATCGAGGTGTATTTTAAAACTGAAAATCTTTTTTGTATTTAAATTGCAGACAGAAAACACTTTATCAAAATCAAAATTTATTTTAACAAAATAACATTATAAAAAAAATTATAATGGACAGTCATATTCCACACAATCAATCAACAAATTTGTGAAATTCACAACTAAAACATGTCAAGAGCTGCTTCATTTGACAAACTTTATAGCCACACAACGCATACGACAATTCATTACAAAAAAGAAGAAAAACTTAAGTACGATGTATTTTGTGAACAAAATGTCTAAAAAAACCCTTCGAAAATTAGTAAGTAGAAACAGTACGGAATACTAATTAACAATATAAAAATGTTTCGTGTTCTACCTGTAGTAAAAAACTGGAATTATAAGATATGTGTTGACGATTATTATTTTTGGCATGTATGATGAATGAAGATTCACAGTACAGATATTACAACTTAACTCTCCTCTAAATGTTACAATATACGCGAAATTTCGACTGCAAATGTACATGGACAACTAACTTACACTGTGGTCAACTTCAACTGTTGTAATTTCGATTTTACTTCTTTAAATGTAGGACGATTGTCGGGGTTTAAATCCCAAGCCTGAAACAATTGCACAAATTTTAATATTAATTGAATAAGTGTATAAAGAACAAAAACACAAAATAATAATTTTACATAGTTTAATAAGATAAGTCTTTAAATTGCCTAATAAACAAGTAGTACTGAAGTAGAAATTTTGCTCTCTTTAATATCTTAATTATGTACTAGACTTTATACTTCTTTTATTAAAAAGTAAAATTTAAAGGATTGATTTACCTGTCGCATAATTTCATATACTTCAGGGGGACAACCTTCTGGGGCTTCCATTTTATAGCCTTTTTCCACGTGCTTAACGACATCGACAAGCGGCTGAAAATAAAATAATTTATTATTAAATTTCTCTTTAGTTTTATGATGTTTATAACAGAAAAATATTGTAGATGAAAGAGTAAGTATAACTAAACTTACTATTCGAGGATATGGGACCCTACCAAATGAGTATATTTCCCAAAGAAGAATTCCAAAACTCCACATATCACTCTTGTTGGAAAATTTCTACCGAAGACAAACAGTTAAGTAAAAAACAGCAATTTTTAATTGAATAATAACGTACATTTTGCTTTAGAGCTTCTGGCGCAGTCCATTTGATTGGAAGCTTTGCTGATTCTAAGCAAGTATTTTTCTCCGTTCTTGCCAATCCGAAATCGGAAACTTTAGCTACACCATTTTCAGCGATGAGAACGTTCCTAGCTGCCAAATCTCTATGAACTACGTGCATCCTTTCCAAATATTCCATCCCTGCGCTTGTATCGAACGCAAAATTGATTTGATCCCTTTTCGTGACATGCTGACGACCCCTTGATCTCAGGTAATCCACTAAACTACCCTTACTCATGTATTCGGTCACTAATAGAACTTGATCCACTCTTCTAACTACACCCAGTAAATTAACCAAATTTTCGTGATGTAACGACCTATATAATTATCAGAAATAAAATCGTCGAGTTAAAAAGTTAAAATAATGAAACAAGGTACTTGCTTACTTCATTAATATTGCCTCAGCCTCACTGGAATCCTTCAGAACTTTTACCGCAACTTTTTGTTTTTTCCATTTCCCGAGCATGACCTCGCCAAATTCTCCTTTACCAATAGGTTCACAAATCTAAAACCAAAACAGCTTTTAATATAAAACATTTATCGTTGATAAATGCCGAGTTATTTTACCTCAAGTTCATTTTCTTGTATAACAAACAGATCATTATCATGACAATTTTGGACGGTTTCTTTCAATAGAAGTTTACTTCCACTTTCCTTAGGTAAACATTTAACTAACTTTGTACATAAACCATCAGCATCCAATTGATAATGTTCAATTAACTTTTCCAAATTTTCAAAAAACTCCTCATCATCAATTGTCAAATTTCTGTCATGGTACTTAATCCTATAATGTTCAACTTTGCTCTGGTAACAAACACACAGAGTATAATCACCAGGGAAATTTGTTGATTCACGAACAAGGAATAAACCGTCTATTCTTGGTTGCAAAAGTTGTTCTGCTTGCTCCCTTGATATTTTTCCATGAAACCATCTAACAAGAAAATCCATACAGAAAATTAACAGTTGCAAAAATAGTCATAATTGTTTAAAAATACTTACGGCATTGAATTCCATTTAATTTCCAACCTGGATGTAGGGCTGTGAACTCTGTTAATGTTAACATCATGCGTGTTATTACCCATGTGGTTTTTAATACTACAGTCAGTGTTTAAATTCATTATATTCTGTGACTTCATAACTAAATTGCATTCATTCATAAGAAGGTTGTCCTGAGGTGATAAAGTTTTTTGTGTAGGATTTGCCTGTAAAAATACCCCTATAACATCTACTTGTTATATTAAAACCATAACTACCCAATAATCTGGAAGAATGCGAGTACTTGATTCATTTGTTCCAATAGAATCACTAGGATTATTTCTTTTGATTCCTCTAGCAGGAACAGTTGGTGGAACTCCTGGCAGTGAGGTAGCTCCTGACCATTGATTAGGAGGCTCCTGAAAAGGACCCACAACTGCTACAGGCTGATAACGCTGCAAATGTGACACTTGTATACAAACTTAGTATCACATATTTGCAATGTAATTACCATTTTAAATTTTACAAAACACAACACTTTTATAAATAAGTCTATCATTTTAATGATATAAGACATATGAAATATAATTACACATAGAAAATGATAGTATTACGTTACTGTTTGATAATTCTAATACATACCTGAGAAAGAGACGGATTATGGAGATTCTGACTTGTCATGCTGTTAAACTATTTCTTCTCAGGTCTTTTCGATAATGCCATAGTTTAACCTGAAATATTTAATGTTAATATCACTTGCAATGCACTTGTCCACTGGACAATAACAAGTCGAAATTTAAATGTTGAAAACAACACACACATACTGCACATTAAAAAAGCACTAACTGAAAATTTGCATTAAACATAAGCAATAAAGCGTGAATTATACACTACACATTCATTGCCATCCAGAAAATTATAAACGCAAACTGAATAATCAGAGGCAATTACACTGAAAACACAATTTAGTGTAATCATATAATTCGAGTTAAATGACCCATAAATATTTTCTCAAATTGCGGAACGATGAAAAACCGAAAACTGTATATTATACCTTTAACATACGTGCACTAAAATACAAAATTTAAAAATATTTACATTAAACAGAATAAAACTTATGTATATTTTAACAACTTTTTAAACGTCAGTCTTTACTCTGTCCACCATTTTCTGATTTTACGCAGTAGGTAATGAAGTTTTCTGTTTTTGTGTATGACTTGTTTTTATTTATTTATCTTTTTATTACAAATAAAAAGTACTATAACTGAGTAGTAATACAATTAATAAATTTAAAATTAGCTCCTTAATTTAAAAGTTGTGTTCATTATATATTTTTTTTCTTTTTCCTTTTCAGATCGATAATGTGTTTAATAAAATGTAATCACATTTTACTTTCTTTTATGACTTAGAAAAATTCTCAGTTTTAATAGAAACATTAAACCAAATATATCTTTAGCGCGATATAATTGTAAATACTTTTAAATGTGCCTGTAAAGCTGAATGAACTTCTTCCAGGGTATTATATTTGTTTAAAATTGAGTGTCTATGGTAAACTAGTACACTTGATTTGAATCTTTGAACGTACTCAAACGCGGGAATTGCTTGTTGTCTTCATGTCAGTTAAATTGAGTGGATATTAATCATTTAAAAAATAATGTCGAAAAGGAATAGCATCGGTAATCAGCGCAATACACTTTTTAATTACTTTCAGTCACCTAAAAACAAGTCCCAACAGAAAGAAGAAAGTCCAAAACCTATTCAATCCACTTCTAACCTTAAAGAGGAAGAAAAAGAGAATAATGGTAAGTCGAATAAATATAGAATAAGTTTAATTTAATTTTGATACTTTTTAAAGATTCAATTGATAACAGTCCACTACTAGTTAAAAAAAAGAGGAATCGTGTTGTTAATGACTCAGATACTGAAGGAGATGGCTCTCCGAAACGTAGCATTGAAAAACCAGTGAAGAAACTTAAACTTGATCAAAGTGAAGAAGATGACGAAGGTAGTGGTGTTGATGATGAAGATGACAGCTCAAAGAGACTAAAGAAATTTAAGTTTCAAAAGTCAGAAGATAATGCTGAAGGGAGAAATGTTTCTTCTATTTCATCACAGAAACCTAGTAAGGTATCTACCTGTGTTGATGTTGGCAAAAGCTTTGAAAAAAACGGAAGTTGGTTACATAACCGTTTGGAATTCCTAAAACCAGAAAAAATTCGTGATGCTAAAAAACGTCGACCAGATCATCCTGATTATGATCCAAAGACATTACATGTACCTGAAGAATTCCTTAATTCTCAAACACCAGCTCATCGCCAGTGGTGGATTATGAAAGGTTCACATTTTGATTGTGTTCTTTTCTTTAAAGTTGGAAAATTTTATGAATTATATCATATGGATGCAGTAGTTGGTGTCAATTACTTAGGATTTTCTTATATGAAGGTAAATTGTATTTTTAGATATTAGATATAAGAATTCCCAAAATGTAATTTCTTTTAGAATGAATTTGCCCATTCTGGTTTTCCTGAAAGTGCATATGGAAGAATGGCAAGTACATTGGTGGAAAATGGATTTAAAGTTGCAAGGATTGAACAAACAGAGACACCTGAAATGATGGCCCAACGATGTAAAAGTATAAAACCTACAAAGTTTGATAAGGTTGTTAGCAGAGAAATTTGCCAAATATCTACCAGAGGCACATGTGTTTATGGTCCACAGAATACAGATGCCAGACAAGCTATGCCATGCTATATGATTGCAATTGTGATGAGAGTAAGAATAATGAAATATTTTATAATTTATCTTTGCAAAAAGTATCTAAGATGTCTAATGACTTATGATTAAGCAGGCCTTCCACTTAATGCAACAAAAAGAAATGCTGTTTAATCTGTAAATAAACATAAACACATGATAATTTATGAATTGGTATATGAAGGTACTAGCTAATGTTTTAAAACTCGAATTTTGCAATAAATGAAGTTAATAGTTTTGGGATTCAAATCAATGAATTATTCATATATTATTTAAAATAATTACCTTTGTCTTGAAAACTTAAAATTAGTATGTTGGTTCTGTTAGTATAAAATAAACTTAATATTAGCTTTTTATCCATCTGATTCAGCATTTAAGCTTCAATTTTAGTTGATAGTTATAACAGTAAATAAATTTATTCTTCCAACTTTATTATTTACAGGATTTGCCTAATTGCCAAAAACGCTTTGGAATTAGTTTTGTTGATACTTCAATAGGTGTTTTTCATATAAGTGAGTTTGATGATGACAAACATTGCTCACGATTCTTGGCATTGCTTGCTCAACATCCCCCTGGCTTGGTAAGTTAAACTTTAAAATAAAAGTAATATTAATGTGCGTTTTACTTTTTATTTTTAATTTTTTTTTTTCAGATTTTGACTGAACGTGGAAATCTGAACTTAAAAGATTTGGAATTGTTGAAACGAACAATCGGGAATGTACGGCACGATATTCTTACTCCAGAATCTCAGTTTTATAGTGCCCAAACAACTATAAAAAATCTCTCATGTGGTCCATACTTTTTAAACAACTCTGGTGAACTGGAATGGCCATCAGCATTCAATGAATTAATATCAGATGGTGATAAAATTATTGTTGTTATTATAAACACTTTTTGGTATTGACATATAAAATGTTACATTTGCTTTACTAGTGTCTACTTTTAGGAACATCTAAATTAGAATATGAATTAGGTTTAAAGGCTTTAGGAGCATGCATGTGGTATTTAAAGGATTCTCAACTTGACATACAAGTTTTATCCCTCAAGAAGTTTCAAATTTACAGACCAGTTGATTTAAATAATGATAAAAACATACAACGCGACTTTATGGTTATTGATGCTGTTACCATTGAAAATCTAAAACTTCTTGGAGGTCAGTGTTCACTGCAGAAAGTTATAGATCATTGTGAAACAGCTTTTGGAAAAAGGTAACTGAAATTACTCTAGTTTACTACTTTCTTTAATAACTTTAATTGTTTGTTTAAATTTGACAAAATAGATTGATGCAACAGTGGATCTGTCGGCCTCTTTGCAACGTGGAGAAAATAATTGAACGTCAAAAAGCGGTGAGTGAATTGGTACATAAGGGAGAGATGCTTCAAAGTGCAAGAGCTATTTTAAAACGTTTACCTGACTTAGAAAGACAGTTAGCAAAGTAAGTATTTAAGTAAGAAATCATAAGCATTTAATATACAATGATAAAATTTAGGATTCATACATTTGGAAATAAATATTATGCTGAAAACCATCCTGACAGTAGAGCAATTTTTTATGAGTCACAAACGTATACTAAGCGTCGAATACTTGATCTCGTTGATACCATAAATGGATTTGATAAAGCTCGAGCAATTTCAGAAATTTTTAAGGGTTAGTAGATGTAGACCTATATCTTTTTCGTTTTTTTTTTTTTTTTAATAGAAATTATTCATTTTTAGATTGCGAATCTAGATTCCTAAGGAAACTAACTCAACATCCTCCAAAGGGAATGTTTATTGACTTATCAGAAGCCATTCAATTCTTTGTAGTAAGTAAAAAATAATTTACATGCATTGTTTGTTCTATACGTGTAATTTCTTGACTCTAGAATGCAGTAGACCTAGAGGAAGCGAAAAAGGAAGGTAAAATAATTCCTCAAAGTGGTGTAGACAAAGATTTTGACAATGTTAATGATGAAATATCAAATTTAAATAAACAACTGAAAAAATATTTAAAGAAACAAGAGGATTTTTTTGGTTGTTCTGTAAGTAAATTAAGTACTGCATAATTGTGTTTGAAACGTAGTTTTCAGATTCATTATTTTGGAACTGACAAAAAGCGCTTTCAATTAGAAATTCCCGAAAGCCGAAGTCATAAAGTCACATCGGAATATATGTTTGAGGGAGCAAGAAAAGGAAAAAATGCTGTTAAACGCTATTCTACTCTAGTTACAAAAGTAAATAGTACTTCTATGAATTACATTTTTAATAGTGACGATGTATTTTTTAGAAATTTTTAGCAGACATGTTAAAATTAGAAGCAGAGAGATCTAAAATTATTCAAGATTTAAATCGACGTATTTTTGAAAAATTTAGCTGCAGGTAAACTATAATTACAAATTATTAAGTTTTTAAGTTGTTACTTTTCAACTTTAAAGGCAGGAGTCATGGGAGCAGATTATCCATTGTCTAACAACTTTAGATGCCATTTGCTCTTTAGCAGAGTTTGCAAGAAGTTACTCAGAAGAGACATGTGTACCTAATGTACTTCCATTTTCTGAAAAGGTAAGAAGGTAAAAACAGCTTGAATATAATAATTTCGTTATCCCTTTCACAGCCCTACATAAAAATTAAAAATGGACGGCATCCTTGTATTAACAATGTTGAAAACTTTGTTCCCAATGATATTGAATTAGGAACAAAAGACCACCCATGCGTTTTACTTCTTACGGGCCCAAACATGGGAGGTAAATCTACATTAATGAGACAAACTGCTGTTATAATGATCCTAGCCCAAATGGTATTGTTTAGTATTATTTTTTCTTCATTAATTCATAGCAATTGTTATGATAGGGAAGTTTTGTTCCGGCTTCATCGTGTGAAATGACGGTGGTAGACAGAATATTCACCCGTTTAGGGGCCCAAGATAATATCCTTCAAGGCCAGTCTACATTTTTCGTTGAATTATCTGAAGCTTCAGCTATTCTTCAACATGCAACTGTAAATTCATTCGCTCTTATCGATGAATTGGGGCGCGGAACATCCACCCACGACGGTGCAGCAGTTGCAACAGCTTACGTTCGCAAACTAGTTGATATAAATTGCCGCACTGTCTTCTCAACTCATTATCACACCTTGGTGGATCATTATAGTACAAGATTTGATGTACAGTTGGGACACATGGTAAATTTCATTATATGTTAACTTCTATTAAAAAATACGTGAATATCTTATGAATGTGCAAATTAATAGTAACATACTGTTTAATCTCCTTTATTTCATTCAATTATTTAATTTTGAAATTTACATCTTTTAATTACAATTTTGAGGCGCTGTATTAATTTTAGTAAATGCTGCTATACTTGTTTTCACTAAGAAATTATATTTTATTTCAGGCATGTATGGTTGAAAATGAAGGAGATGTTATTGAGGAGACAGTTACTTTCTTGTATAAAATGATGAAAGGGCAGTGTCCGAAATCTTACGGTTTTAATGTAGCTAAGTTAGCAGGCTTGCCCCAGAGTATACTTATCAGGGCTCATGCAGTGGCCCTTGATTTTGAAAATACAACCAAACAGCGGTTATTATGCTCTAAAATTGTAGGGTCAGATGCCAACTCTATAAGGTCAGTATTATTACAAGTAAAATAAATCTCAATATTTTATTTTTACGAATCTTAAAAGATTTTCGGTACATTTTCATACGTTCAGTAGGTATAGCCGCACTTTTGTTACCATATTTTTGTAGCGCTTTTTGTTTAAAAATACAATTATCAGTAGATATTTTTTTTTCTCCTACACAAAATCCTTTCCCTGTTTTAAAAATTTTTTTGGATTTAAAGATTTTGAAGATTCATTTGTATTTCTTTCCTTAGTTTCAGTAAAGTGAAAGATGGAATATAGAAGTAATAGTTTATTATATATTTTAACCTGCCATTGGGGCGTGTTCAAAAAAAGAATTTACTAATGAAAAAGCCCTGTATCTTCAAAATTTGGCGTGTAATTCTAGTCAATATCGGCAAATTTTAAATCTAGGGTATTTTAATATGATAAAATTGGCTCCCTAAGTCACCATATTATATCTGTCAAATGCTGAGTTTTTTCACAATCTTTGTTTTCTTGTCTACTGTCTATGATGTCTTTCTTATCTATGGATCTCTTTGGTAGATAGGTTAGAAGGTTCCAGGCGTTGCAGTTTTTAATGCACTCGTAAATCATGAAGGTGAGTGCTGATTTTTCTTAGTTTTAATATTAATTGCATTAAAATGAAATTATAATGCAGTAAGTAAAGCCTATTGTTTAATGTATCGAAATCGATTTGGTATTAAATGCTGTGATTGTTGTGATCTCGAAGGATAAAGTTTGACACTTGGTTTACATTGGGGTTATATAAACTGATGGTTTTCTTTTACTAATTTAAAGTGTTTACGTGTATATATGTTTTTCATTAATAAGGATCTGTTATAGCTACTTCCTGCGAACAGTTGGTTAATATAATTCCATTTTTTAGCTAAACGTGTCATTTCCTGCCACAGGATGCCAGAAATTGTTCGAGGTAGTGGACGAACACAAACTCCGAATCTTTTATGAGAAGCGTATGGGTGCAGAAATAGACGCTGATGCTTTAGGAGATGAATGGAAAGGCTATGTTTTACGTATCACTGGTGGTAATGACAAACAAGGTTTTCCTATGAAACAAGGTGTTTTAACTAACGGTACTTGTTTGTTCTAAATGAAGTTTTACTATTATGATTAATGCTTGTTACATTTAAGCCCGTGTTCGTTTGTTGTTGTCCAAGGGTCATTCATGTTATAGACCAAGACGTGATGGTGAAAGGAAACGTAAATCAGTACGTGGTTGCATAGTGGATGCAAATTTAAGTGTTATTTCACTGGTTATTGTGCGAAAGGGACAACAAGTTAGTGAATTGGTTTATGTTTATTTGTGAACTTTTTTAATGGCAGATTGTTTAATATTAATTTCATTGCAGGAAATCCCTGGTCTAACAGATACAACTGTTCCACGAAGATTGGGACCTAAAAGGGCCTCTAAAATCAGGAAATTATTCAATTTAAGTAAAGAAGATGATGTGCGTCAATTTGTTGTTAAAAGACCACTTCCTCAAAAAGAAGGCAAGAAACAAAGATTTAAGGCTCCAAAAATACAGAGATTGATTACTCCAGTTGTATTACAAGTAAGTTGATCACTTTTGCATGTATGATTAGTGTACTTATGTATACATTGTAAATCAGATCCCTAACAATTAATATTATGTACACATGAAATTTAAAATCAATAGTTTTCTTTTTACATATCCATGACTAGGCAGTTTCAGAATGCATTAATTCTGAAATGTTCAATAGCATGGTAAATGAAATGTACAATTTGGGTATTACAGTAACTAATTTAAATTTCCTATTTGATTATTGTTTCTCTATTGTACATACAGTTTAGTATACTAATTATGTATTAGAACATAACAAGTTAACTGCTTTATTTTTAAGAAAACCACAATTGAATGATCTAATTGCTTTTCAGCGCAAACGTCATCGTTTGGCCCTGAAAAAGAAACGCTGCTTGAGACGCAAGGAACAACAAGACAACTATGCTAAATTGTTAGCTCAGAGGAAGAAGGAATCAAAAGCACGAAGACAAGAAGAACTGAAGAGGCGTCGTTCCGCTAGTTTAAGAGACAGCAAATCGAGTTCACAGAGTGCTCCTTAAGAAGTATGTTTTGTATCTGCCAGCATTTGATACAAAAATGTTTAAAACATGTTTATAAAACAAAATAAATAATTGAAATCATTTTTGTTTCTGTGTTTTTACATTTTGTAATATAAATGCACATGCTATTCGTACATAAGGAAGTAATATCATGTCATCAAAAGTCATAATTATGATTTAAGTACATTACGAAACAATTATTTATGAAGTTGAAAGTTTACGAACACTTGTGAATAGCAGTTTTAGTTTTGTATCCCTGAACGCATCTATATATGTAAAGTTGTATACACAGCGGTTTTAGGTTTATATCCTTTGTATATCTATTATCTATGGTTTTAACTGCAATACCTAGTCTAGGTGCAATACAATTATTGTATTAACCTGTAACAACTGCGTTCGTATTATCTATTGTATAAAAGTTTTTGGTGTTGTTTATTGAGACATTTATTTCAACGATTTCAACTTAATCAATGTAAGAAATGATGCGTTAATGGTACTTATTTGTTTAATAACTTAGATAATGATTTTGCTATAATTTTTCTACATCTATAATTCATTTGTTACAGTAAGATATGGGGTCATGTCTGCACTCTCTAAGATTGTTTCCTGAAGCCCTACTTGATCTTTGTAGTCAGTCCAAAGGATTTAAAGAAGAATTCGCTCATTCATGGGAAAAAAGTAAGTTTATACATAGTTTTTTAAGTAATTTTTAATTCATATGCAGATCATATTGGAGATAATAAACTAATAATTTTTATGCTCATTTATATTAAGTAAATCTTTTACTTTTAATTTCATTATACATATAAAATTATTTCAATTACACATACCTATATGCTCGTTACATCTTTCCCTCTTATAACTTTTTCTTTTCGTACTACCCACATTTATTTCCTTTCTTTTCCATTCCTCCATGTACTCATGCCTTATCATCATCTCTTCAAGGTAAAAGATGCCTATAAAATAAAGCAAGAAATATTCGATGTATAAAATTCTAATTTTGCCGATGGCTAAAATTGAAATAAGTGAAAATTTATTGTTAAGAAATACACTGGGATGAAAAATGTGCTTTTGTTAATAATTGAAGGTTTAAGTAAATAAATATGATCTGCAGTTTTGAAAATTTTTGTAATTGATATATCTGTTTTTGTGTGTAATATTTATTTCATGTAAAGATTCCTAAAAGTATATTTGATTGCAGGAAATCCTTGATCTAAGGACATAAGTGTTACTTAAAAATTGGAATCTAAAAGGGCTTTGAAAATTTGAAATGATTCAGTCTACATAAAGGAGATAATGTACAACAACTTTTTGTAATACTTCTTCAGTAGGAGAGGAAGGAACAAAGTTGTGCGGCTCCAAAAATGAAGCTCATGATTACTTCAGCTGTGCTACAAGTAAGATCAAAAATTTTATTTGATTATTTTTTTGTTATTAATTAGTAGTATTCATTTTTTATCCCTAATAGTTTAGATTGGTAGTTCTCTTAAAATAGTAATTATTGCGGAAATGAAAAAAAATTATACCCAAACATTTTTCCAATTTTAAATTAATTTACATACATGAAATTACCACGTCAGGGCTTCGGTAGGATGACAAATTGAAAAAAAGTAAAACGTTAGAGAATTATAATCCACAGCTTTATTTCATATGTAAGGGATCAAGGTACTAGACTTGTAAGAAAGACTTCAAAAAGTATTCACATACAAGCACATACTTAATAGAGTATTTAAATACAAATATTTTTGAGTTATATTTAAGTATAAAAACGCAAATATATTGTTTTCTTAAATAGTTTGCTTGTAAATAGTATATTAAAAAAATCTGTTTNCCACAATTTCTAATGTACTCATACTACACAGGTGGCACCTTTATGAATTTCTTGCTGGTAACTTCAGATTTAAGAAAAACCTAACTGATTCTATTAATTTGTTTAACTTTAAAATGATTACTGAAGTGAAAGCGATAGGAATTGCCAGTTAAGTTAAGACTTATTTCAGAGTGGATCAGGAAGAAATTGAAGAAATTAAAGCTTTTTCCCTCCCCTTCAAGTTTAAACACCATTTCCATTATTTTTAATATTATGCCCTTTCCCCCTTTTTGCCTTCTTACTCCTTTTCTTATAGCTTTCCTTAAAAAAAAAATACTTTTGGGTGTTTCATTCCCATCAGCCAGTAATGCTGGTGGGCGGGCAGTCCTTCCGGACTACGCCGGAAGGTAGGGCGGAAGGCCCTCTTCAGCCTGCTTTCAGGAATCGTGTAAATGGGTAGGTGGTGGTTCTGGTGAGAAAGATCAGACGAACGAAATGAAGACAGAAGAGAATGAAAGATTATCTGTGGAATATTACTGCCTCAGCATTTGCCTAGGTGATCCAAAAAACAAAAACTTTTGGGTGTTTCATTCCCACCAGCCAGCAATGCTGGTGGGCGGGCAGTCCCTCCGGACTACGCCGGAAGGTAGGGCGGTGGCCCTCTTCAGCCTGCTTTCAGGAATCGTGGGTGGGTGGTGGTTCGGGTGAGAAAGTTGAGACGGGCACGAAATGAAGACAGAAGAGAATGAAAGATTGTCTGTGGAATATAACTGCCCCAGCATTTGCCTAAGTGATCCAAGGAAACCACAGAAAAACTTGGACCAAGGCAGACGGACCCGGAATCGAACCGGCGTCCTCCCGAATGCTAAGCAATGATCTAAACCTCTAGGCCATACCGCTCGGTGGTGATCCAAATAGAGCCGCACCTTTACCATCTACTCCTAAGAGATCTTTAAATTCACACCCTCATCTTTACTTTTAATACCTTCTTCTATCACATGACTTAAATTCTCTTTTCCTCTTCCACACATTCTGCGTCTTCTCTCTATTGACTACCTATGGAATTGTTTCGATCTGGCGAGTTTCTCATTTTTTAGATAACTATTAATCTCCATGTATAGAGTTCTTAACAGCGTGAGTGTCGTCTGTTTTTCAATTTAAAATTAATCATACATACAATTTAGACATCTTTTAGAAGTGAGTTAGTTTAATATGAAATATTATTCTGAAAATTCATTTTTGAATTTTCAACCCACTACAAACTACCTTAAAAGTAATTATTTTTTTGTTCTTTTCTACAGATTAGCTAACCAATAAGACAGATTAGGGAATGATCTGGACCCTAGCAATGAGGACATGGGATGTATTCACTGGTATCCTTTCTGAATTTGGTTTGCTTTCCACACTTGTAAACCTTGGAACGATACATTCTACAGCTAATTCAGGTAATAATGCACAGTTAAATTAATATAAAATGCACTTTATTAATCTGTTGTCAATTGGGTTAACATAATACCTAGGATGACGAGCATATGTTACTTCTTTGTATAATACCGTTAGATTGTCCATTATTTAGTTGATGATGTAGGTAATTGCAAACTTGAGTTTGTTCAAAAATCCAGTTTTTGATAAGTAAAGGAACTCAGAATTCTTACTGGAGCCTGGCGCCCAGAATACTTTGCAGTAAAGTGGGTTGCCTATATAAGGACGAGTAATATCTAAAACCATACGTATTTTAAATTCAAATTATCATGGTACCAGTAATTTGCTTTATTTAAACACTGTTATTTTTTAAATTTTTCACATTTACAAAAAAATTATTTACAACTATCACATGCAATGTGCCCTCTTATCTTTAACTGCCTCAGCAAATTCAATTTTTTACCTTAAATACAATACTAATTTTATAAACTTATCCTACGAAAAGTAATGTTTAACATGAAAAAAAAAAGAAAATGAAAATATTTACTTATCATCCTATAGTATACATACAAATTTCCCTGCCTTATTCTCCCATTTTTTTTGTATTTAAACACTACACCCCTCCCTTTTATCACCTAAGCTGAACCCGTTCTTTTTTTTTATTATATTGATATCCTTACAATCATCCAAATCTTTGCTTTCCTCACATCCTCCCAGCACATGCATCATTGTTTCATCTCCCCTTTCACATATCCTACATATCATTTGTTCTTCTTTCATCCAATACTTACATTTTCTAGATTCATTTCCTACTCTAAACCTTGCAAATACGTCCACTTCCTTCATTCTATTCAGATAGTCTGGCAAACAGTCTCCCTGCCAATGCTACCATACCAACGCCTTTAGACATTCCACATATCTCGACTTGTCAATACTTCTTATGTCTTTTGCCCTTATCATCTCTTCACATCTTATTCTCACCATTTCCTCAACACATACCCCCATTCGGCCTCATTCATTCAATAGCTCCTGAGTCAAATTTAAATCGTCTAATGCACCATCCCTTTCTTTATCATCATACTTCTAACCGTCAAATCAAACAACCTTTTTCTTCTAATCCAAGCGTTCCTGCATAATCTATGCCCTATTCCCCATATACATCCTAACAAGGCGTTTGCTTTTGCCTTGTTGCGTATCTATATGTATTTTATTATTGTTGTTCTCTCCCATAACATATCCTAGACATATATATTTTTTAACCTTTTCTGTCTCTTCCCCCTTTCCACCTAATTATCTTTTTTTCTTTTCCATTTCTACCTCTTACTTCTCTAAATTCCATGTGCATAGTCTTACTAACATTTCCTTATTTACTGATGTCATTCTCTAAATCACTTAGGTATATTTTAAACAGTTATTAACTCAACTTACAACCTTGCCTTACACTTATTTCCATCCAAATTTCCTTGTCTCCCACCCGTATGCATAATACATTCTAAGTGTTTTTTTTTCCTTTTGTGATATGAGCAATAGTCTATCGTATCATCTATGTCATCTTTTGGTTTTCTTTAAACAACAGAATGCAATTAATTGACTTTGCATTATGTATACGTATACAAAGTACACATTATGTCATCTTTTGGTACAAAATAACTACAAATTGTAGTTAGTTAGTTACCTAATAACTTTATAAAAGCTTAAAATTTTGAATAATCAATATACATCAAGGTTATTAATAATTCGGGCATAGGAGAATTAAACCACAGAAACTGTTTGTTAATATTACTATATATAATTACTAGAAAAACTTAATTGTGTGCAATGTTTTTAAAAATAACAATAAGGTAGTTCTAAAATGTTATAGTGCAATTAGCTAGTTTCTTAATTTCGTTTGTTTAATGTTTAAAAATGTCCGTTTGGTCGAATTTTATTATACCCAAAGATGCATATATGTCTTTAAAAGTTGTGATCAGGCGATGGAACTTGCACGAAGAAAAACGGAAATAAATTGAATTCTGTAAAACGGGGATGAAACCAAGCACGCGATTGGTTACAGCGCCGCAGACATCGAATTTATTTACTTAATACTTAATTATATCTGAACATTTTTTCATAAGATTTCATTTTACAGGAACATTAGAAGAACTCCAGATACCATTAAATTATGAAATTATGGAGCATTGGTTGTATTAGTCCTCATTTGCCCTGAAAGTAGCTGTGCCCATGGTTCTAAAGAAAGCATGAAAGTGCCTTTTTTTCATTGGGAAGGAAGACAGTGTGCTGGAAAAGGATTTATGACAATGAACTAGTATGTAACAGTATCAGTTTAAAACAGTAAATGATATCTTTAGATAACTTCAATTTCTTAGACATTTTTAATTTGCTTCAATAGACAACTTTTAAACAACGTTTCAGAAATGGCAGAAGCAGAATTAATGTGGAACAGATCTTCCCATTAGTGTGCATGTTACTGATTTATACTGATTTATTCGATTTAAAAATGGTAATTAATTACTTTTTCTTGCCTGTTTCTATATAGATTGTTGTCCCACAAATGAGAAGGAATTGCAGTTAATTTTGGTGCTACTAAAACAACCGATGCTTTTGACGTTGTAACATTATGCAGTTAATTTTTACCGTGACTATGGGAGGCAATTGGAAATTAATTAATTTGGATGCAACCGGAACAACAAATTATCTGCAGTGGTATCCCTCCTAGATTTGGTTGGTTTGCTGATCACACTGGCAGACTTTAGAACGCCACTTTCTACAATTAATTAAGGTGAGAATACATGACTTAATCAATATTAATTACTCTTTATTAATCTGTTATGAAATTTCTGTTAACAGTTAGCTATTGTCAACAGTATAAGTTGAGGTTATTGTGCATCAATATCACTTGACAGTTATTTTCCACAGAATAAATTGATATTTATCATTGATGTATGTATGGAGCTTATCTATCTATGGATTTTCGTTTTAACCTTTTTCTGTTGTCTATGTCGTAAATTAACGTGTTATTTGCGTTAATCTATGTCGTGATCTATGGTTGTGATGTAAAATGGCGTAAAGTTGTTGTTTGTTTATTTTTTAATTCAGCTATTTTACTTGCTTTTTGGTGCGTTTTTATGTGTGTTTCTTAATTATAAGTGTAATTAATATGTTTTTTTGTCCATTTCTGCAGGTTGTGTAATAAATGGGAGAGAATTAATGTTCAGTTTGGTTATACTGAAACAGCCCATGTCTACATGGATGTGGACTTTCCTGGATTATATTCTTGATTTCCTGTTTCGTCTTCGCCTTGTAACATCATGCAGTTCATTTTCAACCCATGAGCGAGTACAATTAGATATTTATTTGTATTCCACTGAAATAAGTAAATATCTGGTACAGTATTCCTCCTGGAGTTGGTTTATTTTTCACACCTGTAATTGTTGAAACGTTACGTTCTATAATCAATTAAGGTGAGCATACTTGATATAATTAATTTTAATTGCTCTTTACTAATCTGTTTGCCACCGTATCTGTTTCAGATCGACGTTGGAGAAGACAAAGATGACCCAGTAGTTGAAATAGTTCTTTATCTTGCATGCTCTACCTAGTAGAATTCATTAAGTTCGTTTTATTCAAATTAATTTTTTATTTTGCATGTTTTTGTGTAGTTTCTTATAGTTTATTTGATTTAGTTTTTATTTTGCATGCTTATTTTTTTTCTTTTTTTTGAAGTAATTGTTGATTGTAGATTCTTTTGTTTTTTTTTTGTATGTAGTAGTAGTGTTGTGTAGTGTAGTAGTAGCACTAACTCGTTTAGTAGTTGTAGTGTAGTCTAACATGTCTCTTGCTTACCTCTTCGCTTAGCTTACTGCATATTCTTACTAAATTGCTTTGCATTTACCCTACGAGTTCTACATGATTCAACGTTTCGTTATCGTGTGTGTTTCTTCTCACCCTTGTGGAATTAGGGAGGGCCTCCCCGAACGACTTCCCTTGGGCTTAGCTATTTAGTTGATCTTAAAAGTGTCTTATACACTTTTCGCGAGTCTACTCTAGCGTTACTTCCTTTCAGACAGGGTACAGTGGGTTATCTGGAATAGGAGCAATAGGCGACTGCCCAGCTTGCCTTGGCGAAATCTGTCCGATCTTCTCTACCAAANATCTGAAATCTAGCAGATTCTAGCAAGAAATCATCCAATGATCTCAAAGGAGCAAATTCAAATTCGCCAGATACTTTTGCTTTACTCATTTTACTTTATTTATGAAATGAAAACACAACGTAAATTTAGAAAAAGGCACTTTTCAAGCTGACTTCTGACTTAATATTTTATATATAACTAGTAGAAGGTTATGTTATGTTTTCAACCATAGGTAATAGATACACAAGCTTTTCAACTAACCATCATAGATATACGTTCGAATAATTATTATACATCAAGGTTATTAATAATTCGGACATAGGAGAATTAAACCACAGAAACTGTTTGTTAATATTACTATATATAATTACTAGAAAAACTTAATTGTGTGCAATGTTTTTAAAAATAACAATAAGGTAGTTCTAAAATGTTATACTGCAATTAGCTAGTTTCTTAATTTCGTTTGTTTAATGTTTAAAAATGTCCGTTTGGTCGAATTTTATTATACCCAAAGATGCATATATGTCTTTAAAAGTTGTGATCAGGCGATGGAACTTGCACGAAGAAAAACGGAAATAAATTGAATTCTGTAAAACGGGGATGAAACCAAGCACGCGATTGGTTACAGCGCCGCAGACATCGAATTTATTTACTTAATACTTAATTATATCTGAACATTTTTTCATAAGATTTCATTTTACAGGAACATTAGAAGAACTCCAGATACCATTAAATTATGAAATTATGGAGCATTGGTTGTATTAGTCCTCATTTGCCCTGGAAAGTAGCTGTGCCCATAGTTCTAAAGAAAGCATGAAAGTGCCTTTTTTTCATTGGGAAGGAAGACAGTGTGCTGGAAAAGGATTTATGACAATGAACTAGTATGTAGAAGTGAGTTAGTTTAATATGAAATATTATTCTGAAAATTCATTTTTGAATTTTCAACCCACTACAAACTACCTTAAAAGTAATTATTTTTTTGTTCTTTTCTACAGATTAGCTAACCAATAAGACAGATTAGGGAATGATCTGGACCCTAGCAATGAGNACACTACACAACACTACTACTACATACAAAAAAAAAAACAAAAGAATCTAAATCAACAATTTACTTCAAAAAAAAGAAAAAAAATAAGCATGCAAAATAAAAACTAAATCAAATTAATTATAAGTACAAAAAAACAAAAAAAAACATGCAAAATAAAAACTGAACTTGAATAAAACGAACTTAATGAATTCTACTAGATAGAGCATGCAAGATAAAGAACTATTTCAACTACTGGGTCATCTTTGTCTTCTCCAACGTCGATCTGAAACAGATACGGTGGCAAACAGATTATTAAAGAGCAATTAAAATTAATTATATCAAGTATCCTTACCTTAATTAATTATAGAGCGTAACATTCCAAAGTTTACAGGTGTGAAAATTAAACCAACTCAAGGAGGAATACTGTAGCAGAGAATTTCTTATTTCAGTGGAATTCAAATAAATATCCAGTTCCACTTGCTCATGGGTCGAAAATTAACTGCATGATGTTACAAGGCGAAGACGAAACAGCAAATCAAGAATATAATTCAGGAAAGACCACACCCATGTAGACATGGGCTGTTTCAGTATAACCAAACTGAACATTAATTCTCTCATTTATTGTATAACTTGCAGAAATGGACAAAAAAACATATTAATTACACTCATAATTAGAAACACAAATAAAAACGCACCAAAAAGAAAGTAAAATAGCTGAATTAAAAAATAAACAAACAACTTTACGCCATTTTACATCACAACCATAGATCACGACATAGATTAACGTCAAATAACTAGACGTCAATTTACAACATAGACAACAGAAAAAGGTTAAAAAGAAAATCCATAGATAGATAAACTTCATAGATAGATAACCACGATAGATAAACTCTATAGATACACCAATGATAAATATCAATTTATTCTGTGGAAAATAAAAACTGTCAAGTGATACTGATGCATAATAACCTCAATTTATGCTGTTGACAATAGCTAAGTGTTACCAGAAATTTCATAACAGATTAATAAAGAGTAATTAATATTGATCAAGTCAAGTATTCTCACCTTCATTAATTGTAGAAAGTGGCGTTCTGAAGTCTCCCAGTGTGATGGGTAAATCAACCAAATCTAATAGGGATACTACCGCAGATAATTTCTTGTTCCGGTTGCATCCAAATTAATTAATTTCCAATTGCCTCCCATTGTTACGGCAAAAATTAACTGCATAATGTTGCAAGGTGAAGACGTCAAAAGCATCGGTTGTTTTAGTAGCACCAAAATTGACTGCAATTCCTTCTCATTTGTGGGACAATCTATATAGAAACAGGCAAGAAAAAAATAATTAATGATCATTTTTAAATCAAATAAATCAGTAACATCTGTTCCACATTAATTCTACTTCTGCCATTTCTGAAACGTTTAAAAGTTGTCTATTGAAACAAGTTACAAATGTCTAAGAAATTGAAGTTATTTAAAGATATCATTTACTATTTTTAACTGATACTGTTACATACCAGTTCATTGTCATAAATTCTTTTTTCAGCACACTGTCTTCATTCGCAATGGAAAAAAGGCACTTTCGTGCTTTCTTTAGAACCATGGGCACAGCTACTTTCCGGGACAAATGAGGACTAGTACAACCAATGCTCCAAAATTTCATACCTTAATGGTATCCGGAATTCTTCTGATGTTCCTGTAAAATGAAATCTGATGAAAAAGTGTTCAGATGTAATTAATCAAGTATTAAGTAAATAATGTGCACAATACATTGTTAAAGTAATGCTGAATCTTTTTCTTTGTTAATATCAAATAAATACACTACATACAGAAAATATAGTATGCATGCTCACCTTAATTAACTACAAAGCCTTCAAGGTTAACAGCTAAAACACCATAGAAGACGACTTATCTTTTTAGTAAGCAAAGATATCAGTTCCAATCTCTCTCAATTGTTGGCCAATCTGTGTAAACGGACAAAAACAATTATTAACTAATTAATTTAATAGATATCTGTTACGCAGAAAATTTAAATATTTAATCCTTTTCACTTTTCTTACTTTCTCTCAAATGAAAGTCAAAATATATGCGGGACATATATAGAAAACGAATTAAACAATGGTATTACATAAATGAAACATGAACGAACGAATAAAATAACAAAACATTAAAAATGGCGACGTAGCCACCTAATGTCTGTTTCAAAATATAACCTTGAACAATTTTGTCAATTTAATTTATGCTGTGGGCAAATACGCATAATAGTAATAGAATGTGAATCAATCAAACTAACCTGTCAGACGTAGAACAAATTAAAACTAATTTTGCGAAAAAATTAGCTCGATAAGTTGAATTTAAGAGATGCGAAAACACGCCCTTCCACCTCGAAACTTTATGAACTTATAATGCACCAAACGCAATTCCGGCGTGTCTCGAAATTGCGATTGCTACCACATGAAGCACTGATGACGTAGACAAACGCTAATCGGATGCGTTAAATTCGATGTCTGCGACGCTGTAACCAATCCCGTGTTTAGTTTCATCCCCGTTTTACAGAATTCAATTTATTTGCGTTTTTGCTTCGTGCAAGTTCCATCGCCAGATCACAACTTTTAAAGATATATATGCATCTTTGGGTATAATAAANATTATTAACAGATAAAATATAATATTAATGTGAATAAAATATTAAGTCAGAAGTCAGCTTGAAAAGTGCCTTTTTCTAAATTTACGTTGTGTTTTCATTTCATAAATAAAGTAAAATGAGTAAAGCAAAAGTATCTGGCGAATTTGAATTTGCTCCTTTGAGATCATTGGATGATTTCTTGCTAGAATCTGCTAGATTTCAGATTCCAAATGTTAGGGATCTGGAAAAATGGGGTTATCGAGTAACAAGTAACTTGTTATACTACCAAACAAATTATTTCTTAACGGCTTTAATAATTTTCACAATCGTTGGGTATGTATATGATATTTAACAATTGTATACGTAACATAAATAGTGTCTTTTTAGTGTAATACATCCAGTACAAGTAGCTGCAGGTTTTATAGTTACTTCTGTTATTTTCATGGCATTCTGCTATATAACCAATGAAAGAGCTACAGCAAGTCAATTTAAACGTAAACATCCTATTATATCTGTATTGGTAATATTAGCAGGAGGGTATTTTGTAACATATATGCTTGGTTCACTATTGATATTTCTATTGGGCATATTTTTGCCTATTTCTGGTAGGTAGTATTTTATTATGTATACCTTGGCCATTTACATAGTTTATATATTATTATGGACTTTTAGTTACATTTATACATGCTTCTTTGAGACTGCGAAATTTAAAAAACAAAATTAGCAATAGGGTTGAAACCCTAGGACTGAAGAAAACACCAATGGGAATTTTTCTTGAAGAACTTGGGATTGAGCAAGAAGTTTTTTGAGACAGAGTCTAAATTTATAAAGTACTTCCAAAAGTTCTTTGAAGAATAGAGCATGTACTATTTGTACAGTTACATATATTAAAATTAAATTAGGTTGTTTAAAGTTAACAGTGTTAGCAACTAAATATGATTGTAACCATTTTTTGCAAAATGAAATACACCTGTATGTATGTATAGTTAGATTATTTTAACATGAGGTCTCTATTTATTATACTTATAGCTATCACAAAATGTATTGTATATGCTATATTCAGTTAGTCTTATATATTATGTAATTATTCATATTTTGTTTTGCATGAGCTATATATTTGCAAAAGTTGTATCAAACATGATTTTATGCTTTTAGTTTTTAGATACGTATTTTACAAAATTAATAAATATTATGTTTATGACAAGAATTTATGCAGTTTAATATTAAACTTTTTTCCTTGATTAAACTAAAAGGAAAAGGATATTCAGAGGTTGTTTACAAGAAAAGAATTGATTCAAAATCAAGAAACTTATTTTCCACTTCTAATTATCAATTAATAATTAAAATCTCATTTTATCATCTAAGAAGTTTGATTAGTACTATTTTATTACATGTTAAAGGACAAATTTTGAAGAATTTTAAAATCGAATTTAAAGTTTTAAAAACTAATGATTTCCTAATAAATAAGCAGAATCACTCATACTGCTCATCTAACCACCACGGAAAACTTAACTGCAAAATTCTATCAGTATAAACATTCTATGACAGTAATAAAATTTATAACCTAAAATTTTATCACTTAACCTAAATTAACCTCAATTTTCTATTTAAATTTGACGGATACTATTAAATAGTATTTTTCTGTAGAGTACTCTTCTTTTAGGCAAAAATAGGTATAGTCATTTAGAAAATAAAATGGACGGTAAGTTCTTTAAAAGAACAATGTTGTATGGACTTTAAATTTATCTTCGTTGAAGATTTTATAGATGGTAATAAACAAAGGCTTATTATTGGAATTATCAACTTCCTTAAAAAGGAGAGTAATAGTTCATATGTAGAAAGTGAACGAAAGGAATCGCTTGACGTAGCCATTCAGTGCCTAGAATCAGCATATGCCATTGAGCCTGAAGCTTTAAAAAAAGATGAAGACTTTGATTTGCTTACCTTGATTTCGGATGATACATTAGATGTAAGCCTAATTTAAACTCAGTTACTTAAACAGGTAAACGTTGTAATTTGTAGGTTGCTGTCACAGAAGAAGAAAAGACCAGAGCAGAAATTCATAAAAACAAAGGAAATGAATATATGCGTCAAGGGCTTTATCAAGAAGCCGTTGATGAATATACCAAGTAGGTAAAAAAAAAATATTTAGAGACATTTATATTTATTTTATTGCTACAGGGCCGTTGAGCTACATCCCAACAATGCTGTCCTTTATAGTAATCGTGCTGCTGCATACAGTCATATGGAAAAGTACCATGCAGTAATAAATGATTGCAAAAAAGCAATTAGAATTGATCCAAATTATGCCAAAGCATATTCTAGATTGGGGTAATAAATTATTAATTGTGATAGATAATATTCGATTCCTTTATACTGCAGCAAATTAGAAATAAAATTGACTTACAGTTAGATATGTATTTCAGAAATGCTTATTCATTGATTCATCTGCATGATGATGCTAGAAATGCATTTAGAACAGCAATAACATTAGATCCTACAAATGAAAGGTACAGAGCAAATTTAAAATTAGCTGAGGAGAAATGTGTATCAGAAATGGGTATGTAAGAAGTCATTTTGTTTTTCCAAGTATCTTTTGTCTTCAATATTTTAGACAAAGCTAATCCACCCGAACATCGACCAGTTGATATCAGTCAGTTTATAAACAACGCTAATTTCTTAAATGTGGCCTCCCAAATGCTAAACGACCCCGGTGTTAGAAATGTGTAAGTAGTAGGAATGTTTTGAAGTGTTCTTTAAAGTTTAGTCTACTTATGGCGGCTTATTTTTTAATTTCATAGAGATTCTTGGACAAAGCTCTTTTTTATCAGCTTTTGAAAGAAAATTTTCTTTTATAGGAATTCAACTAATATATATTTGAGAACGGACATTTTAAGGTGGATAGCAATTTTGTTTAAGTTTGAAATTTCATCTGAAGATTTATGAAATTAATGTATTTACAGCAAGTAAGTTATAATCTGTAAATATTACAAAAATGGCCTTCATATGTTGGCTAAGTATTAACAAGTAAAAAGAAATACTTCAAATGAATCTATAGTTCTGAATACAATAATAACTTTTCCAGGATGTCAGGCATTTTAAATTCCAATACTGAAGGAGAAAATCCCAATATAGATGCCTTGTTGCAAATGTAAGTATTTTACAAGTTGTTTACAAATGTATTTTGTTAACTCATACTTTTACTTGTTAGGGGACAGCAGTTAGCACAAAGAATGCAAATGAGTAATCCAGGTTTTGTTGAAAGTTTACGTCGACAATTCTCAGGGGACGTACAAGAAGAAACAGCTACAGAATCGTTACCTGATAGCGGACAAAATCAAAATCAAAATAAACAACCAACACCTGACGATAAAACCGATTCATAAGCCAGTATGATTTCCGTTATTGTATTTTATTAAGCAATTTGTTTGCATTTTAAAAATTAAAATTTGGGTTATCAAATTGACATCACAATGTGCATTGCATTCGATTTCAATATTGTGGAACATTAATAAATAATTGTTTTGGGAATTTCACAGTTTTATTTATCAATAATCAGAAATTATTGAGAATCCAGCTTCTACTATTTTAAAGTAATAAAATTAACTGTAGTCACTTATTAGATCTTTGGGAAAAAATTATAATTTTTGTTAAATGTCTGTTCCTTCTGTAATGTTTAGTCATCTATACAAAACGTTGCTACAGTAAGTGACTTTATTTTATTGAAAAAATAACTAAATTTACTAATAGAAAATAAAACTATAATTTTGAAATAGTTTACTTATAGGCAGCCTTTATGCGATTGAGATTAAAGTGTTGCATATCAATAAATTTAAATTTTTAGCGCCAAATTCGTTTTTAGTATATGCAACTTATCATACACTGCTGACAACGGTTGCCGATACGTTGAAATCCTTTTTCCATAATTCAAATTTGTAATTTTAAATAATAAATAAAACAAAAAATGAAGACCGATTAGAAAATTTAAAATAAAAAAAAAAAATAAAAGAAGCTTGTGAAAATCAAAATATGGAATTTCTTTCAATGAATATTCAGGCGTTGGTTTAATTGTTTAACTCATGTTTCAACTACAAATCCTATCATCTTAATTCAAAGTTATGTTTTTATATTGCAGTAATTTTACGATATCATATTTAAAACCTTTAAATAAATAATAGAATTGTAAAAAGATAAGAAAGTTTTAGCGGAGGTAATGGTTAATATGACAATAAAGAATAAAACAGAATAAGTTTCTCTATCTAATTTATAAGATCTGTTTGGTCTTTTATTTTTTTATCGTATTAGTTAACGAGCTTTACAAAAAGTGCACCAAAGTTTAGAATGTATTCTTTATGATATAAACTACCATAATATTTTTATGATAACATAAAAATAGAAGGTACACAAAATTTAAAAAAAAATGATGCTTTCGAGTAACTTTTTGGAAAATTTGTAGGTGGTTGTTTTTAGCTTGGTAAATTTTTATGTATTTATTATGACTGACATATACGTTCGTTCCCAAAACCGTTTTACATGCCTAGACACTGGGTTTCAAAAGACGCTCACTCTAATTTTAAAAAGAAATAAAAGTCAAAATCTGAAGGAGATGAATACAAGACGAGCGAAGCAGCAGAAAAATAATTGAACCTAGAAACAGACGAAAATAGACCAGTGATTATTTTATAGTTAACGCCGGTACCGCTTAATCGGAGTTGATGAATTATAATAAATAAATTCGTTAATTTTATTAAATAAGCAAATATGAACGCTGCTCCGGCACCAGAAGCTATCTATTTTTATACCGCTCCACATTTTTAATATAATAAAGTCAAAACAAAGTAAATGTACGAAAACATGTTAAGGGCGAAATTGAAAATCCCGAACAGAAATATGCAATTATACTGTTGAATGTAACAAACCGACTTTGCGTCACAGTCTATGGGGGCGGGTGTTGAAATATTTCACAGGATGATTCGAATCCTCAAATTACCACATGTACTAAATTTATCCTGGGCAGCAGTCCGTGATGCTTTGGCCACACTGTCTTAGTAAACAATAAATATTTTTTTCTCTCTTAATCATAAAGTTATCCAAAATAATCATAAAACAATACTATAAATCGACCTACATATTAAATCTTGAAGTTTGTCGTTATTTCATGTAAAATTAAAAGTAGGTCAGTAGAGATAGAGAACAAATTTCTAATTTCATCTCCCATGTGGCAATGACCCTAACTTCCAAATTAATATCGAGTTAAATAGACACGATGTACTTTTACAAAATTTTATTTTCCAGCTAATTCTTCTACCGTTTCGATGTTCTAATCAGATACAGGTATATATTTTTACTAGTGTGGCTACCAAAACTATAATTTTTTGTTTTAGTTTTACACAGTTTATAATCACGAAAATACTATTAAAGTAATTATTTTTAAATAAATATGTAAAAATAGAAAATACTTAAGTGTTTATTTATTGCAAATTCTTTAAAACCTCTCAATTTTTCCTGTCACGCCGAGAAAATATTTTTCGTAAGTGCGGTACTAAAATGCGAATATTTTAATGAGAAAATATTGTTGTCATTCTAAAAATATTTTGAGAGTCCATATTATTATTTCATCACAAGTTCTCACCTATTTTATTTTTAATACCTACTCTATTTACAAATCAGTATTTTTTAAATTAAACGTTTATAATAAAAAAAAGATGTACTCCAAAGTTTAAAAATTTATTTCAAGTATCATGAAAAAGGCACCGTTTCTGAATAACGTCAATTTTGAATGAAAAGGAGGCTTGATGAAACAGAACATTAGCAGTTGCGATGTTTACAAAATAAAAAATGCAAAAAATGTATTTCATAAGTAATTAACAATGCTATATGTCTAACGAATAGTGAATAAGTAGTTATATTCAAGTTTTGCTTTTAATCAAGGTTTCTCATGATCGAATATTTTAAATAAATGTTCAAAATAGCCTCAATCAAAGAGTTACGATTTCGAGAAAAATACTCCGAAACGGTATTTGTTTGTAGAAGCCAGTTGCCAAGTAACGAAGTTATTAATGTAAGGAAAAGGCGGGCAAGCGTTTTTATTCGGAAATTTCAGTATATCAACAACCCGAGTGGAGTAAACCAAATACAATAATTTAATTACGATAATTAAAACGGCAAACGAAATGTGAAGATGCAGACGCCATTTATTTGTCATATTACTACTTTTGATAAATAAAACTTGTCATTGAAACCTAAAATAATTCGTCCGTCAAGAGCAAGCACACTGGCATTTCGAAATAAAATTTGGTCAAGGTTGGAAATATTTCTGTTTCTGAAGGAATTTTTTTCAAATTCTAGCCTTTGATGTGTTTCAAAACACATGCATACTAGCGTGTAAATTTAAGTAGTTTAAAACAATTTCGTTACCACTGTTATTCGTATATTTTCAACTCGATTTTGCTCAAAAAGTCCCCTACGTTGTGATAGTAAATTGGGTTAAATTAATAGAATAAAAATTAAAATGATAAGTTGTTCAATTTTCGGCAAGTTTCCAGATCGGTGGTGCGGTCGGGATAAGGTAGGATTGATTTGCAGTCTGCCACATCTCAGTAGGCGCCGATAACTTAAGCTAAATGTGCGTAAACGTCAAAGAGCATGCGTTGAGGTAACTTAAAGTTAATACAGCAAAACCGGGCACATGCGCGTTCCCGATTTCTACTGATCCCGCAGGCGCAACCCGCCGCCCTATAAGGCTTGGCATAGCTTCAGCCTGTGTATAATATTACATCGTCCTCTCCTTGCTATTCCTAAAAATATCGCGACTGACTGCTATTTTTGAACTTGCCATGTTATGTTTTCTTTTAATAAGATTTCAATTCAGTATATTACATTTTAACTACATACGTATACATTGAATTCACTGACCTGATATGTCTATGTAAAACAATGACTAATTTAATGAGTTCCAAATAAAATTAAAATGCCGAAAACGAAATTTACTTTCTGATATGAGAGTAACCTACATACATCTCATGCTCCATTTTTACTGTCTGTCTAATAATACATTATGTATTTGTATGTGCAAATGTTGTTCAAGGTAGCAAAATATATGTTGACTCACACTTCTGTTGATGTTTTATTTTTTTCTCTACTAGCAGCCTTTTTTCCGTGGTAATTAGTACATATAATTATTTAATGAATACAGTGTCAAGCAGGTGTGAAATAGTAATCAATATGTTATTACCCAATTATTTGTCTTTTAGTTAAGGTAGAATTTACGTTTAGTAATTAAAAGTTAAAAAAAACTTTTGGTGATAGTTAAAATTTTGAGTATGTAAACACAAATTTAAATTTAGTTGAGTTTAATTTTGATAAATTTAGCAAACGATTTTAAAAGTGATTTTCTGTTATTTCTGCAGTTTTAAAATGGGCAATCTAAAAATAAGGCAAAAGTAGCAAATTTGAGAATTGTTGTAAACTGTTAGTGATTTCATAATCTAACGTAGTGTTGAATTTTTGTGGAGGTTGTAAAGCAACCCACCGTGTTCCGTTCGTTATAAGGAAAATTGGCAAAATATCAAACAGTCTATTCAATATTATTTTTACTTGTAGATACATTCTTATTTAGCCGAAATTAATTTTTATTACTCATAAAAATAAATTTTCAATCAGTCATTTCATATGCAATTCGTACCTACTTATTCAAAAACAACGGTTGTAAATTCGGCCGATTTAATGGGTTTTTGTTAATTATAGTGGTAAATTCGGCCAGCCTGTGGTGCTCCGGTAGGCGTAGAAAATAGAAACAACATCTTAAATATCAATTGCAGTTATATGTTATAATAGAGTACACGGGCAAGCCAAAATGACTACCGAACATAAAAATTACATATTTCTTTGTCGGCATAATAAATGTATAACTGGAATATATTTTTTCAACCACGACTATTTGAAAATATCTCCTGATGCTTCCCTGAAAACTGTCGTATTTTTTTTTTTCAGTGAAAGGTAATTTTTAAAAGATTTCCTGTCATTCGTACGACCTATAAGGTCCTGTGCAACCGTTTTGAACAATGCGTTAACACTTTTCAAAAGTTTGAAATTATATTTATTATTTATATGAAAAGATGTCTCAAGATATTTGTACGAATGCACAATTGGAATATATTTATTCAATCACACGAGTCCGTTGTAAAGATAAAAGTTTTTTTTTTTTAATATTATTATTTTCGAAGATAACTTTTGCAAAAGCATATTCCAAGTTTTAATTTTTTACTAAAATACGATAATAATAATAGTTTTAGCCTATTTCAGAAAAGTTAGTCGGTCAGAAAAATTGTAAATTTTAATGAAAACGCAGATGTGGTCAAACACATCGCGAGATTTATTTCTGAACGTGTTAGCCCAATTATAAGTATGGTTCTTATCCTTAGGATCCAGTGAGAATATAGTTTTTAATATACGTGATAAACTGCACATATAGGTGAACTAAATATACATATGTATGTATATAAAACGTCTTAAATTATTGCGCGCAAAAAATAAATAATGCTGCACTTGTAACCCACTTTCAGGCCTAGCACTTGTTTAAATTTTTGAATCAAAACCAACATTTCAAATTTCATAACAGCATCATTTTATTTTTGAAGTTGAGGATATTTAAGTGGATGTGTTATTTTTCAATCCAGGTCCAATGTTTGTATGTTTCGTTTCAATGTAGTGGGACAGTTGAACAGAAGAAACTAATAATAAAAATGTTTAATTTTGTTTTTTACTCTTAAACCTAACAAAACGCCAGAGTACCTTTTCGCCTAAGGTAAACAATTTCCACATCGTCAATATCATCATGATAGGGTCGTCAGTCGTGAGACTGGTTGGACACGCTCCTCCACTCTTGAGTTAATCTTCGCATTTCCCTAAAACTAGAACATCCCCCATCCCACATCCTTAACTAGTACTGAGCAGTAATCTAATCTATAACTACGTCTCTTAACTCCCGTTTCTGCTATAATTTCCATAAGGAATGAATTTTGTACTCCTATTATTTGAAGAATTGAAGTTGCAATTGATGCTCTTCAGGAGTTGGAAAAGTTTAAGACACTTTTACTTAAAATCAGAGATGATAAATAATTTCTAATTTTGCCGATTCGCCTATAGGTCACTTTCGTGACAGAAAAATAGCACAGCCATTACTCAGATAAAGAGAAAAAATAAACACGAAATCAGATCACGAGGAAAATAATAATTTGGCTTGGTGAAATTGCCTTGACGAATTACCTCCGTATTTGAGCTATTGAATCATCATAATATTAGAGTCACTAAAAGTATATACGGGTGGCGTTCAAACAATGCCGGTTCAAGGCGAAGTATGAATACAGGTAACATGTAAAGTTCAATGAGCAGCGATAGCACGGAGATATTGCAATGGCATTAGTCATTTTGAAAAGCGACAAATGAGAAAATCATGCAACTGGCCAGAGGGAGATAGGGACGTCCTGCGGCACATCCAGATAGAGCGTTCGTGAGAGTGGGATTTGTATCCTGTGGGGGAAATCACGTCACGGGCAGCTTTAGATTTGGAAATCGCCACAAGAATCTCTAGTTAGTGCTTAAGACTGCCAGGGAGCAATTCTAGAGTAGTTCGAACGACTCGAAGCGCGCTGTACTTCGATACACCGCCTCAGTGTGCATACGAAAAAGTGAAGTGGGTGAAGTGACCGTGGTGAAGTGTCTTTTCTTCATCTACATCAGAGAAGTAAGTTTAGACAATTTACTTCTTCTCGGTGGTGCAGTGATAAGTGTATGGTTTTCATAAAGATCTCATTTTTCCGACAATAAGAAAATTTGGATAAACTTAAAAGTTAAACAAATTGACTGTTGCTATCGTTGTTCTTCCTCTCTTCTCTTCTTCTAGCAGTACTTTCAGACTTGAATCTCCAATGCATCCAGTAAAAAAGCTCTGTCTTAATGTCCGTCCGCATTGAGCGTAGGAACGTCGTCCAAATCCAATGATTTACTTTAGCTGCGCTCTTCTAAAATATTCTGGCAGGAATTTATTTTATTTAGCTTGAATGTAGGTTAGCCGGGTTGGCCTCAAAAGATGTTTAGGTTTGCAGGTCAGAATGCATTTGACAAAGAAATAAGATCTGTTGACATGTGCTCCAACGCAATGTTAGGAACACTTGATGAAACAGAGTTATTTTTACTCTAAATTTGGCGAAGGACATTGTAACTGACTATTTTAGAAATAACAAAGCTATTCGTATTCTATTTTCGTGTGATTATTTTCCGGAATAAAATGAAAATGTAATTCAATCAAAGATTTAAAATTCGCACCGCTCAAAAATATTTCAACGAAATCAAGATTCACGTATTTCGAGAATGTCTATTTTTGGGTTGATGTTTATAAGATGTTGCACACTTGATAAAACACAGATCGAGACGAATCTGTAGATCGTGATGGGCAGTTAAATTGAGAAGAAAGTTATAATTTTATCTTTAAAATTCGCAGGGCTAAGTAAATCGTCCATGTTGCCGGGATAAAAAATAAAAATGGGGGTGGCAGAAGATTTCGCTCCCAGTTTTACTCAGAAGCCGCAGCTTCGGCAGGAGGACGATGGCAACAAGCTCATCTTCGAATGTCAGTTGCTGTCTGCACCAAAACCTGATATACAATGGTTTCGCAGCGATGAGGAATTGCACGAGGATACGCGAACCAATTTCAAAATCCAGTCGATAGGAACCAACAAATTCTTGGTGGTTTTAGAACTGGACGATGTTATCGAAACTGACGCCGGCCTTTACAAGGTCAAGGCAAAAAATAAAATGGGCGAAGTGGCCGCATCAATTAATCTTAATTTTAGTCGTAAGTTTCGCTTTCATCGACGTTTTTTATCGACACTACTTCTATCCATCTACAAATCAGAACAAGACTTTGTAAATCATACGTAACAAAACTTCGATTTGGTCGATCGTTTATCGAAACTAACATCTAATACTTAGGCGTGCTGATGAAGACTAATCCACGTTTGGTGGTTTCGATAAATTACTGACCAAGAGCATAATGCCCTCTACAAACCCGATCTCGTTGAAAAAACGAAAGATAAGATGAATAGAAGTATCTTTTAGAAAATAATTAGAAAGCGACGATTTTAAAAGATGCCTATTTCTTTTACAGCAATGGACGAACCTAGAGAAAAGTAAGTAAAAAATATAGATAGAGAATTCGATTGCATCAGAAGTGTAAGTCTACACCGTTTGATTCGGCCCACATAAATGAAAAGTATTTGCCAAAATTTGAACACGTTAGCCTGGCTGTGACGTTTGCGTCATATTCAGTTTCAGGTTCATTAGAATTATCTCACAGGCATGATTTTGGTGCACAGCTGAAAACAAATATTTTTCAACTCTCCATATTTTTGGCAAAAGGCACAATTTCTAAGCGCTACAAGTGCGTTTGACGTGTTACATAAACAATCTTAAATAACAAACAGCCAAACTGCTACGTTTGCTAAGCGAAAATAGATTCGTAAATAATTTTAGTTTACGCCATTGAATTTAATTTCATTTTAATCAAGTACCTATCTATTGTTTTTATACATACTACAAAGTCATCCACGGAGATATTCGCGATAGCTTTACCTTTAATAAATAATAAATAAAGTAGAAGAAAATTCGTCTAACTTTTCAGACAAATTGATGGCCTTGCTCCAACGTTTGCAAAAAAGCCTACCATTAGACAGGAAGAAGATGGTAAAAGACTGCTTTTTGAATGTCGAATTCAAGCCGATCCAAAACCTGTTGTCACTTGGTTTCATAACACTAACCCTGTTAAAGAATCTTCAAGGCACAAGGTACGGAATATATAGGGGAACAATGTTGCCACTGTTCATACACATACGCACTAACACCATTAAAAGACGAAACGAAGAATAAAAGAAAAAAGAGAACAGTTTTTATCCACTATTAAATATGATCCTGAGCAGTGGGAAAAACAAACGAAAATGATACATTATTAACAGATAAAATATAATATTAATGTGAAAATTAATTTAATTTAACTTTTATCCATTACAAATTAATGAGAAATCTTCGAGACCTTTGGCTTTATATACCAATAAGCTACGAGAGGGGCCGGCAGCAACAATTTTTCTTCATTAATTTGTAGTGGATAAATTTTCATATTAATATTAAATATTATCCACTATTAATAAAAAGAAAGTTTCTCAAAGTGTTTCAGTTAAAAGATAAGATTACCAAACAAATAACAAAAGTTACGTTCTTCTACGGGAAGCCAAAGTCATTTTGTTTTTTCTTTTCCAATTACAGTTAAGGATAGACAAAGATGGCCATTCGTATTTCGCAACTTTAGAAATAAAGAATGTAACTGTTGAAGATGCTGGGAAATACAAAGTTACTGCGAAAAACGAATTAGGAGAAAGTAACGCGACAATAAGTTTAAATTTTGACAGTAAGTGGTTCTTCTCCGTGTACCTATTGAAGCTTCCGCTTCTTTTTTGATTATCCATAAACGTCCTTCACCATTTCATATATTTATGTAAATAAACGTTTCAATAATAAAGATCCAAACAAGAACTACCATCAGCAAGAGCCCTTCAATTTACTCGGTTACCTAATAGTAAGCAATTTCACTTTAAGTGCCGATATTTATTCCGACGAGGGTTGTTGAGCTTTTTTAAGTGTTGTATAAATTGAAGGACTGCTACTAGAATAAGAAACGTCGTTCATTAAATTGTTTATATTTATATTTGTTGTGTTCATATTAGTTTTATCTTTACTATTGAAATGATTTAATGGCCAGTTACTGCTAAAATGACCACTGTTGATCGTACAAAAATCTTCGAGATAGCGAAGGACCAGCTTTTGGTTATAAATTAATTTAATAATTAACTTTTTTTTATATAATAACTCGAAGCAAAGCTTTCAATTTCAGCTTTTTTAACAACAATTTGTTGCCATAGTGAAAAAAGCTTTTGCTACCGGAAGCAGTTGCTGGACAAAAAAAATACTTTTTACTATTTACCATCTTTTAATTTGAAAAAATTGTTGACAAATTTGCAAAATTTTTCGAAATACAATAGAAAAAGATAGCTGCCAGTGGACAAGTAAGTCAGCACTCGTGCAATGGACTAACTGCGTCTAATATACCGGCTCAGCTTTTAATCTAATGTTTTGTTAACAAATAGTAATCGGTCTACAAAGTTCCTTTTTTCCTTTTACACATTTGCAAAACGAGCATTTCCCTCTTGTGACAGATCGAGCATTCGCCACACGCGAGAAGGAACTTTGCGGACAGTTTCTCTATAACTGATGTTCGAAGTGTGCGAGTGTGTGAATAGTTGAAAGATTAGCCTTGTTATCTTTTTTAAGCTTGTACATAAGTTTTTAACAGCACTTCTCCTCCTCTGTACTGATTTGTTTAGTTTTTACTTTTATAATTTTTCTGCAAAGTTGCGATTCGTACTTCAACTATTTTGGAAGGCCATGTTCTTGCAAATGTGACCCGTTTATTTCAGCATTATATCTATTTTTAACACTGTTAGGGCGAATTAAAAGCTGAGCTTTTAAAAAAAAAAAAAAAAAATAAATTATTGTACGTTGTACGAGTGTTGATGGCTGTCTTGTAAGGTAATGGTTGAAAGAGACAGCCATTTAGGAAATTTCTACAACCAACAGGCGACGAAGCACCAGTTCCAGAACAGGGAATCAAACCTACGTTCACAGAAAGGCCGGTCATAAGACAATCGGATGATGGGGGAAGGATAACGTTTGAATGCAGATGCGTTGGAGATCCTCCGCCATCTTTTACCTGGTACGTATTTTGTACGTTTTACCCAAAGTCGAAACATTTATCGAATAAAAACTAAATGGATCGCAGGTATCATGGTAATAAAGAGGTTAACGAAGGAGGTCGTTATGCAATGTCCGTTCACATAGACCAAACTTTATACTATATGGCGCGCTTAGAGATCGATAATGTCGAAAATAACGACAGAGGCGAATACCGTGTTGTTGGTAAAAACAAATACGGCTCTGGAACATCGACTATTAATCTTAATTTCGAGGGTGACGATAAGCCAAAGTAAGAGTTATTATCTAAGAGTTCAGTTCATCTAGCCACGTCCCTCCATTGACTTGATGTATTTTTCGTAGAATTCCCGATGGGAAACCGCCAAGATTCCCTAAAAAACCGACCATTCATCAAGAAGGAGACGTACTCGTAATGCAGTGTTTGTTAGAAGCAAATCCTGCGCCCGATATCACTTGGTTTCATGGAGATATTGTTATTGCCGATAGTAAACGAATTCGTATGTTAAGAAAATCTACAGGGAAAGACACTTATATCTTAACTTTAGAAATTACAAATCCCACTCGCGAAGACGGTGGAAACTACCGCTGTAACGCGTTCAATAACTTTGGTGAAAGTAATGCCAATATTTCTCTCAACTTCCAAGGTATTATGATCGACCTTTATTTCTCGCACGATACAGTGACGTCCTTCCTATAATCGTTTGCAGCCCTCCTACAACAAACGATCTCACGACTTAATTATTGTTTGCATGAGCATGGCCTTAAACAAAAACAAATCGTATCTCATCTACTATTTTTATTCCTAATCAAATTTTATTCACAGGCGGAGAGGATGCCGCAGGATTTGCGCCCTCTTTCACCGAAAAACCCAAAATTATACCTAACGACGACGGCACTCTTATCACCATGAAATGCAAATGCAAAGCCAAACCGAAACCCGAGGTCACTTGGTACAGAGGTACCACGGTCGTCAAAGAGTCCAAGAAAATTGCTTTAAACGTAGTCGATGTCGAAGAGGACGTATATGAACTTATTTTAGAAATTTCGGTTAGATATTTCAATTTTACAAAAACAACTGTCAACAACAACTAAAATCTTACACCCTAGGATCCTACAGCACCTGACGGTGGAACCTACAGGTGCCACGTCAAGAACGAATATGGAGAGAGCAATGCCAATTTGAATCTAAACATAGAAGCTGAACCGGAACCAGAAGGGGAAGGACCTACTTTTGTCGAAAAACCCAGAATTACCTCACACCAAGGAGGAAAACTAGTCATAATGGATTGTAAAGTCCGCGCTGACCCTAAACCTACCATAGTATGGTATAGAGAGGGCAAGGAAGTTAAAGAATCGAGCAAAATAAAGATATCTGTCGAACAAGTCGAAGAATCTGTTTACTACATCAAACTCGAATTGAGCGATCCAGGAATCGACGATTCCGGATTGTACAAATGTAACATAAAGAACGAACTCGGCGAACTAAACGCCAATCTCACATTAAACATTGAAATTATACCTGTAATCAAAGAAAAACCGAGAGTGACTAAGATAATCAAGAAACGAGTTATTATCGTAGAATGTAAAGTTCAGAGCAAATTTGCTCCAGATTGCACTTGGTTCAAAGAGGAGGAAGTCATTAATGAAGGATCAAGACACAAAGTTCAAGTCGATCAAGTCAATGACGTAAGTTAAAACTAATTAGATGATATTTAATAAATCTATAAATATATGTGACTATTAGGGTGAATTCAACGTCAAATTGGAAATATCCGATGTCAAGAAAGAGGATAAAGGTTTTTACAAACTCGTCGCCCGAAACGAAAAGGGTGAAGCTACATCACAGAGCGTTGAAGTCACCGAACTTCCCCCCGAAGAAAAACCGAAAGGAGAAAAACCCAAAATCAGCAAACTCACAAATGTCGTAAGTTTAATAAAAAAAAAGTCCAATATGCAATACATCTTTTAACACATTTTCTTATATTCTTTCAAGACAATCGAAGAAGGAAAATCTGTCAGTTTTATTACTTCTTTGCAAACATTCGACCAGACATGTATCGTAACATGGTACCAAAATAACACGGTCATTAAGGAATCGAGCGATTTTAAGATGACCTTTGACGGCACTACTGCCCATCTTTATATACAAAAGTGTCAAAAATCATTGAAAGGTACTTACAAAGTTGTTGTCAAAAACGAATTTGGAGAAGCCGAAACGTCAGCTTTGCTGGAAGTAATAGAAAAGAAAGAAGTAAGTAACTGTAAACAAATTTAAATTGATATTATGGGCTCATATGGGTACACTGTTGAAGTGAAACTTCTATAACTCATCAACACCTAGCCTAACCTAACCAGCGAATGCATGAACGTCAACTTTTTGCTATTCCTATTACACTTGCTATAGAAGTTTCACTCTTAAAACTTTTTTGTTACATATCCCTCACATTACTGTATCTATTCAAAAATATTTTGAATAATGACACATTTATACCTAATACAAAAAACAATTAACACAATGAACGCTCTTAAAGAAACCGAAAGAGAAAGAGGAAGTGTCAGAGGAAGAGCAAGTGGTCGAAGAAGACGAAGAAGAAATCGACGAGAAAACGGAAGAGTCGATATCTATTTCACACAAAGAAGAAAATCACAAGGTACACTTATACAACATGGTGATAACACCTTACAAATAACACGTTTTCATTTTGAGTGAATTTGACAAAATAATTATTTATGTGTTTCGTTTAATAAACATACAAACAAATGTTAATTTAGTATTCGCTTCTAGGAGGAAGAAAAAGTGGAAGAAATCGTCGAAGAGAAGAAGAAACAAGTGAAAAAGAAGGAAGAAGAGAAAAAGGTGGAAAAGAAGGTTGAAATTAAGGTAAAATTGTTTACTATTGTTTGTATATGAGGTTTTCTTTTTGTAACATGTCACTGTGTAATGTCTTTTGTGTATATTAAAGAAGGAGGAAGAGAAAAAGAAAGAGGAAGTGACCCAAAAGAAGACTGAAGAGAAGAAAGAGACCGAAGCGAAGGTAACTTGTATTGTTATCATGTAATTGTTACTGTATTGTCATATATTATTCTGTTTGTCTAAAAGAAAGAGGAAAAGACAAAGGTCAAAAAGACAGAAGAAAAGCACGTGGAAGAAAAGAAAGACGTAAAAACAACAGTGGAGAAAAAGGTGAGTGACATTTATTAATACACTGTAATTATGCGCCTGGAAATACACATTTTTTTATCAAATGACACTTTAACTTTAGAAAGAAGAAGAGAAGAAACCAGTTAAAAAGACAGAGACAATAGAAGAAGTTGCTAAAAAGGTACGTATTATTATTATTATTAATAACAATGAATAAATGTTTGTGAATCAATAAATAAATGTTGAATTTCAATTTAAAAGGAAGAGGTAAAGAAGACCGTTGAAAAGGACAAGAAAGAACCTGAAAAGAAAGCTCCTGAGAAACCGGTACGTATTATGCATATAAAATGTTCATGTGACGTTTAATTGTTTGTAAACGTACGTGTTTTTTAATTACCGTAGAAAGAAGAAAAACTGGTTAATAATATTGGTGGTAAGGAAGAACGAAGAGCTTCAGTTCAAAAGGTGAGACGTATGTTTTTTATAAACCCAAGTGCATGTTTAAACACTTTTTCAATTGTTCAATGACAGGCAAAGGAAACCAAAGTTGAATCGCGAAGAAGTTCCGTGGTAAAAACCGAAGAAAAGGTAAATAAACGCTCGGACCCGCCTATTTTGTGTATTTAAAGTAAGCTAACCATAATTTTAGATAATTCAGGATGGAGGAAGTAAAGCAGGAAGTAGGAGATCCTCTACAGTTCAAGAAATACAGGAAGAAACGACTACAGTACAAAGTAGACGCACTTCTGTGTCAGATGAAAAGAAAAAGGTAATCAAAAGTTATAACGTGCGCGAAAACGGCTTTATTTTTATCGCTCAACTTGAAAAACATTACTTATTCGTAACATTATCCACTTTACAGGGCGTTCCAGAAAAGAAACCCCTTAAATCCACTCCTGAAGTGGTAAGTATTTCAATTGTTTGTCATATATGTTTGTGTTGTTACTAAAACTTAAAAAAAAACACACAAAATTCAACAAACTATTTTCTCAAACATAGCCACAAACACCTGCAGATGAAACAAACAATATTGATGTCGCAAAAACACGTAAGAAGTCATTACTCGATAAACCTACTGACGAATTAAAACCAAAAGGTACAGAAACTCGTAAGAAGTCTCTAATTACCGACGAAACAAAAACGAAAACGGTAACTACTAAAAAGACAGAAGAGAAACCTGTTGAAAAAGAACCGTCACCCAAAGCTAAAGAACCAGAACCAAAAGCTAAGGAACCAGAACCGAAAGCTAAGGAACCGGAACCGAAAGCTAAAGCACCGGAACCGAAAGCTAAAGAACCAGAACCTAAGAAACAGGAACCCGTAAAGAAACCGGAGCCGGAACCCGTAAAGAAACCTGAACCCGAACCCGTAAAGAAACCTGAACCCGTAAAGAAACCGGAACCTAAAAAGCCGGAAACAGTAAAGAAACCTGAACCCGAACCGGTAAAGAAATCTGAACCGGAACCTGTTAAAAAACCGTCCGTTTCTGAAGTACCCGAAGTAGAATCCCTTAAAAAACTTACACCAGTAGATAAATCAGAAGCAACCGCTAAAAAAACTGAAACACCACAACAAAAAGCATCAACAGAAAGAACCCCTAAAATTGTTGTACCCCAGGAAAAAGAAAAGGTACATCACAAGGAATTAGATATTTTTAATGCAACAAACTACCATATTTTGCATAACAAGTGCTTTTTTTGTGAAATGCACACTTTTTCTTCTTCTATGCAACGTTTAACCATTTTTTCAAATACTTACATGTATTTATTAAAATAATTGACAACATTCGAGAAGAAATAAACTATATAACATCCGATAAATTATTTTTACTACACGAAGCATTTTAATAAAAAAATAACCCACCTCTCAAGCACCCTTACTCTTTTACACTAGCCACTCTTAACTTTTCTTACACTTCTTAAAGCTTTTAACAGAATGTGCTTTCTATAGTTGTTTAATATCTTTTTTTTATTATGACTCATTAAAAGATTTTGAAACAATTTCACTCTATCTTTAGGATGAAATTCGATCAGTTAATTCACTATAATATTTCTTTTCCATGTTTTTTCCGTCTTGTCATTGTTCGTCTGCCCCTTGTGATTCGTCTTTCGTATCGAAACAGAACGAAGGGCCAGAATCGGTGAAACTAAAGGTAAGTTTTAATATCGAAAAGACTCATTTTCGCCAAAACTTGACGTAGTTGATGCGATTGTTAGTTTTATGTAGCAGTCGACACATATTTATCTCTTAAACCTTATATGCAATTTTACTGTAGCCAAACGTGGATGATAATACACAAGATAAGCGTTTCGCCCCTCGAAAATCAATCAAAGCAGAAAGCTTTATAGGCATACAACTAAAACCCGTGGTAAAGGAACAAAAACAAGTACAACAAGCCCATCTTGAATTAGTAGATTTAAAGGTAAAAGCGGCTGTGTTCTACAAAATATGAGGGATTTTTTCTCCTATCTTCTACTTCTATTTCTATCTCCTATACGTTTACTTCAACTATTCTTCTCTAACTTTATTTCTCTCTATTCTATACTATCATCATTTTAACTGAAATTATACCGCACTGACAAGGAGTAAAAGTTGTTTTAACTTACTTTCAATGGAACTAGACCGGGAATTAGTGACACATGCCTTTTTTGGAATAGATAATGTACCCCTTGATAAGAAAGATAAAAAGATTCTTGTCCGATGCACGCTTTTCAGTCATAGTGGAAAAAACATAATTTTTTCTTCCTTATCTTTCTTATCATGAGGTAAATTATCAACCCCCAAAAAGGCATGCTTTATTAAATCGGAGAACAAAATTTGACACCAGCTCCTTGTCTAAATGTGTTCAGGCCTGGATCAGAATACGATAGGGTATTCCGTACTCATTCCGGTCTGCCATGCCGTGTGTGGAGGCCTTAGCTCTAACGTAATACAAATTTTAGAATTTCGCCTGATACGGACCATTCGCGGTACTTGGTGATGGATTATAAAATTTTGTGTTTTACAATAAAATCTGATAATAAGAAATAGTATTAAATAACAATTCATAAAGACAAATATTTTTAAACAACAATCGAATTCGCATTCTACATAATATAAGAAACAATTAATAGCAAATTTTAAAAGATTAACTTTTAAAATCTTTGTTTTTGTAGTGTAATATTCAGAAATAAGTAAGAATCTGGTCATTTTTATTCGGATAATTGATAAATAAAGAATACGTAGTAAATAAGACAGAACAACCTTAAATTTTGAAAGCAATATTAAGAAAGCGACTAAATACGGAAATGTTCTGATCTTTGAGCCTATTTATGTTCCTCCATTCAGTCTATCAGAACATCAGTTTACCTAATTTACCGATTTGCCTATTAGAATTTGTTGCAACTTCTACTTATCGTTTGTGTTTCATTATTTAAATGTATTTCGTGATTCAACCATGAGCGTATTTTAAATTATGCAAATATATTTTTTCCTGTGTTAGTTGCTTCAGCAACTTCGCATTTTTTGTTTTTAATTTTTCTTATGCCCTTTAATCTTCACCGTTTATTACGTACTGAAAAGTACAAATACTTGATTTTTGTAAACGAACTATCTGGTACACACAGCCTCTTTCCTTCGACGTTTCTTCTTCTTTTAATCACTCTTCTCTTTCTTCTTTCAACTCTCTTAACTTTTAGTGATTGTGTTTTTCTCTATTTCCTGTATCTTTGTATATACGTCTTTTTTCTACCTACTTTCTCTATCAGGCATATACCTAATATGATTATACTTATGTACATATTTAAAGGCTTTGTATATACAGCTGCTTCACCTAAAAAGGCACATTTAGCACGACAGTATTATGTAAATATTGTACATAGTTAAATAATAAGGACGCACCTATGCACCAAATTAACAAAAATAAAACAAGTGGAATTGACTGCGCTAAGTCGCAATGTCTTCAAATCCTATTTTTCCCGATTAACTTACAATTAAGTTGATCCATTTGCCCTTTTTGGCACCCCCGTTGTATATAATCGGTTCAACCAATGCGTTTCTGCTACAAGGATCTGATTCTAAATATTCCAATTATCGTTTTTTTTTTTTTAACCAGGATAAAGCGCAAAATATGGTTATTATATAATTTGAAAATTTTTGGTGGCGTGTGAAATGTTTTTTGTTTTTTTTTTTAATAAGAGTGGCAGTATATAGGCCTAAACCTCTGGACAATTTTGTGGTATTTTTTCGAAATAAAAATTGCATAATACAATTATTTTGCGCTTAAGTGAATTGGTATCGTTGAAAAGTAGTAGATGTGTTTATTTTTGGGTGTCTTTGATAGAAAACAACATTAAAGAAAGCATCGGAAGCTACAAAGTCGAAAACGACGACAAAAAAAGAAAGCGGAAAAGAACCGTGGGAAGAAATCCCGGATTATGAGCGCCCGGAACTCGAGAAATTCGAAAAACATCCTCCCGTAGATTTCAGAGGAATCGAAAAAACACAACTCTCGAAGGTGAGAGATTCAATAAATAATTAGCTCTTGGCACCTTATGACTAATCCTTTCATTCGCAATACGCTCTTAATAGCTAATCAGTTTTGGCTCAAAAGTTACAAATAATCCGTCGTCTTTCTGTTATATGCCGCAGTCTTACTTAAATGCTACCAGCTTTCAGTTGATTATTGCGAGTTAGAAATTCCGCACTCTACCTATATATATATATATATATATAAATCTTAGGACAAACCGAGTCTTCCAGAAATTAAAAAACCCGAAGCGCCTAAAATCGAAGTTATCAGGGAAAAGAGCCCGCAGCCTGACTCTAGAAAAGGTTCGCTAGCACCGGGAGCTGTACCGTTACTAGGACGAAGAGGATCTTTGATCCCTCCCGAAGAGATAGGTCGCAGAGCCAGCATTATCATTGCCGACGAGGTATTTCTGTTTTATCATGTGAAAAATAAATTAACAACAAGTAATGCAGTAAAAGGATTTTTTTTTTAAGTAAAAGTAGTAAATGTATCGTTGAAATTTAATCGCTTTTTGGAGATGTTTGGTTTCCTTTTCCTAAGTAAATGCATTTTTCCTGTAGGATAACAGGAAGTTGCGTCCTGGGGAGGTTTTGGACGACAAAAAGGTAAACTTACCTCTGCCTTATTAGTATACCTGTATTGGCCCTTATTTGCCTAATTTTTACCTTTTCTTGCTTCTAATAATAAACGCAAGTATGATGCACGTCATAGCTTTACATAATTTTAAGGCAAGTAAAAAGCAACACAATTTCTCTATAAACTATCTACATTTTATTTGTCTATGAAGCATAATAATGAACAAAGTGATGATACCGAAAACTTAAACCACAATTTAATAACTTTTAGTATCGTCATGAACTACAACGTAGGTTTTCTTTATATAATTTTCACAATTTCTCTACAAACTATCTACAACAGGTGATGATACCGAATTTGTAAGGAAAAAATTTTAATTAGTCGAAATGTAAAGAGTTTTGGTATCGTCACGAATTATATCCTTAAGGTTTTGTTTTCTTCTTAACTTATATTATTTTTATTTTGGGGGTAAAGCAAAGAGGTCGGCGACCGGGTGAAATTCAAGACAACGATAAGGTTAGACTGGTTCAAAGTAGTGTAGAAAAAAATGTGATTAATAAGAAAATATACATGTTTGTATCTAACCTTGTCTAGATTCAATTATAGACTAGATTTATTTGTAACATAAACGAAATGTGTTAAAATTTGGTCTGTGCTAAACTTTGTGAATGATAGTGGTAAATTACGAATTTGTTTTGGATTTGTCCTAAAAATTTGTAAATAATACTTATCTCTATCTATCGAATAATAGTTTAAATTTACACTTACATATACGTATATCTAAACAACAAGTAGCGCAAAAAATAATACTAAATACAAACCTACCACCTACTGCCTAAAAGTACAGGTTTATCGCAGCTTTATGTAAATCTCAAAACTATTCCAATTCTTAACGATTTTCTACACAAGAACAGGGATTTTTGGATTTACAAAAATAGATACAAACAACTCGAGAAATACTTTGCTATTTACCTACATCATTGAGTATCACTAAACAAATGGCCTTTAATGACCGTTGTCCGATGTGGTATTAGTTTTTGGATTTGTTGGTCCTCGGTGAAACGACGATGGCTAACAATCCCGAAAACCAATAGTCCAAAAGGTCTTTAATTTTTTCAGTGTGATTTAATAATACATACGTACATGCAATGCTATCTTTCTTGTGTGTTTCTTATTCTTTACTAGAAAAGGTTCTTTTATTTAATTCTGCACTCGACATTATCTACACCTTTCTTATTTAACAATTTATTGTTTTGAATTATCTTTCTCTCTTCTCGTAATAAAATCAAACCATAATTTTTTTGTCCAATAGGTACCGTTCGTACTGGATAATATAATAAAAAAGAACACAATATCTTGCATGAGCTTTTCTATACACTGATAGACAAAAGTTGAACTTTCGTTTTTGATGTTTTTTATGGATTTGTGTACGTTTTCTAACGATGTTTTTCGTCTTGTCCATCATCATCATCACACACCGCGTTCTTTTTGTTCTAATGTGGTTCTTCGATAAAAAAAATGATTGTTTGAAAACTAATTTACTGTTTATTAATTAGAGCCGTCGACGTAGTACAGACGTGCGTAGACCAAGTCTTGCCGAGCTGGAGGACAAACCATCGACGCCGCTAAAGCCCACCGGATCCGGTGGGCCACCGACCATCATAGATGTTCTTGAAAGCTATTCAGCCGTTGAATCGGAAACGGGATACATAACAGTAGGGGTTGAAGGAAATCCAGCCCCTACATTTAAATTCTACAAGGGTATGACAGAAATTATCGAAGGAGGTCGATTCAAATATATAACCGATGGTGAAACCAACACTATCACATTATGTATCAGAAAAGTAAAACCAAACGATGAAGGACAATACCGATGCGTGGTGTCCAACATTCACGGCGAAGACACCGCCGAGATGATGCTATACGTTTCTGGTATGACGGCGGAAAAATTTCAATGTAAAATTTTACTAAAATTATAAATTTCACAGACTCCAGCGGCATGGACTTCAGAGCAATGCTGAAAAAACGACGGTACGCCAAATGGGACAAAGATAAGGGCGATCCTGACTGGGGTGAACTTAAAGAAGTCGAGAAAGAATTACCGCAACTCAAGAAAGTTGAAAAGGTTGGCAATTCTATTAACAAAAAATAGTTATTATGTAATTCCTTAAAAGTCCTTATTTTCTAATATTAACTTATAGGTACCAACAAACAATGATTTTTGTATCTATTAATTACTCATTTTCCATTGAAACAGGTACAACGTGTTCTATATTAAGAACTGCGCTTTATGAATCATAACGGCTTTCCTTGGCAGTTTTTCATATTTGGCTTAAATTCAATGAATGACGTTTTTTTTACTGGCAACTAGGTGCCATTTCGTAAATAAATTAACCGTGAAATATTTAGTAGCGCAACGAAATTTTACCACAGCTCTTAAATTTTTCTTTATAGACACCAGCTAGCTCGAGGAGACGTTCTTTAGCCGAAATAATACCCGATTGGCCTGTTCTGCAACCGTTCCAAAAGAAGGAGGTTGGATGTAACGAAACCCTTCAAATTAATGTCAATGTTGTTGCTATATGTCAATTCATCTTTCGTTATTGTTGTATTTATTTCCCTCTCTTTTGTATATATACATATGCGTGTATATACTCATATAGTTGGTTAATACTCACTCAATGTGAGAGTACAGACCCCCCTTTTCCCAAAAATCGATGTTGTCTGCTTTATGCATGTTTAAAAAAACGAGTTCCGTCGTTTTGAGATTTTACAGAATTTTCTCATTTTTTCCCCTGTGGTCGCATTTTTCGCAAAGGGTATTCGTTTTCCGATTTTTGTTTTTCTCTTTTGAACAGGCGTCACCAACAATTTTTGAGAAAACGTCTTTTTAAGAAGATTATTTGATTTTTGATCTTGCATTGTTACTTACACTCGTTGTGTATGGTGCTAGACGTTCTTATTATATCGGCCGTTATTAACTTTAATTGTTTCCTTTCAGAAACAAGAAACATTTTTGAAACCGCTTATAGATCAATTTGCGAAAGAAGGACGAGACAAGAAGGTCGTATTCGAGGCTGGATTCTCTAAGCCAAACTGCAAACCAAAATGGTTATTCAGAAAAGATGTAAGTGTAACAAAGAAAACCTCATAATATTTACACTAAACCAATGCATCCTTCCTTTCACAGGAACTATTCCCTGGAAGCAAATACAAGATCAAAAATGAAGGAGATCTGTATCAGCTTATCATCAACAATCCAAAAGTGGAAGACACGGGAAAATACACGATAGAAATAGGAGGGGTTTCATGTACCGGTTTTTTGACAGTAGAAGAGCCTGATCCATCCTATGCGTTCACGAAACAACTGAAGAAAAGCTACAGCGGTTATACAAAACACGAAGTTACCATGGAATGTCAAGTAAACAACAGCCTTGCCATTGTTGGATGGTACAAAGACAAAACCAAGTTGGAAGAAAGCGACAAATATAGCATCTCAAAAGACTTATCTGGAAATTGTCGCTTAGTAATCCACGATTGCGTCTTCGAAGATGCCGGCGAATATTCATGCAAATTGGAAAAACAAACAGAACGAACACAGACAACTGTTAAAATAGTTGAGTACCCTTACAAATTCGTCAAAGTATTGAAACATCAACAAGTCGTAGAAAAAGAAGATATTGTGCTAGCTTGCGAACTAGATGATGCAAGTGGCGATGTCAAATGGTTTAAGGGAGACCAGGAAATTAAGCCCAAAGAAGATAAAAGATTCAAAATTACAAAAGATGGCCGTAAGCGGAAATTGGTCATAAAAGATGCCAAAATTACGGATGCGGGAATGTACTCCTGCGTCACCAATGCTGACAAAACTGAAGCAGAAATTGTGGTCAACTGTGAGTTACAATTACTACATTACTGCAGATAATTTTAAAGACAGACTTTGTAACTTATTTTATTTCGTTTCAGATCTTAATCGCTTCAATAAGAAACTTAAAGATACCGATGCGATTGAAAGGGACAGACTTGTTCTCGAAGTGGAACTTCAAGATCAAACAGCTCCAGCCGATTGGAAGTTTAACGGAAACCCCATCGAAACTTCTGACAGGGTGGAAATTAAAAACCTGGGCGGTGGCAAACATCAGTTAATATTTAATAAACTGGAATTAACCGATACTGGTGAAATTACTTGCGAATCCGGAAAACTCAGTTCTACCATGGCTCTCACAGTCAAAAAAGGAGAAACGAAACCGATTATAGATTGTCCCGATACGTTCGAAGGGCCAATTGATAAACCACTCATCGTAGAGGTTCCTTACAAAAGTCTGTTTTGAGCATACCTTTTTGTATAATTATTTATTATCCTAAATATTATTGCAGTTGATGGAACCAAAACAACGCCTATAGAAGCTAAACTGGTTAAGGATGGAAAGCCCTTGCCTGCTAAAGATTGTGAAGTGGTCGTTGGTCAGGACAAAATCACCTTCAAAATTAAGAAGCCAGCCAGAGAGTTGTCTGGTCCATACCAAATTAAACTGGCAAATAGCCAAGGCGAAAGTGTGAAGGATGTCAAAATTATTATGCAAGACGTGCCATCACCACCGCAAGATGTCAATGTCAAAGACGTTTATCAGAATTCCTGCGTTGTGGAATGGAAACCGCCAAAAGACGATGGCGGATCACCTCTTCAACATTATGTGATTGAAAGATTAGATATGAGCTTGAAATGTAAATAATTTCTATTCGTGTCATTTGTACCTTATGAACAAACCAAAAATTTCTTTCAGCTGGTTGGGATAACGTGGGGGAAGTGCCCGTTGGCAAACCGACGTCATTTAAAGTAGAGAATTTGGTACCGAAAAAGCAGTACAAATTCAGAATTCGTGCCGTCAATAAATTGGGAAGCAGTGAACCTGCCTTGTTTGGAAGTGCAGTCCTTGCCAAGGATCCCTGGGATGAACCAGGTAAACCTAAGAATGTTGAAGTTACTGATTGGGATAAAGACCATGCAGACCTTAAGTGGGATAAACCTGACAGTGATGGCGGCGCGCCAATTACTGGATACGTAATTGAATTAAAAGACAAATTCGGAACGGACTGGACTAAAGCTCTAGAGGTTCCTGCCGATAAATTCTCAGCAACGGTTCCTGGATTGAAAGAAAATAACCAGTACGAATTCCGTATAAGAGCCGTGAATAAGGGTGGCCAGGGAGAACCTAGTGACGCTACGAAACCAATTATCGCAAAGAGCCGTTTCGTAAAACCATACATCATCGGAGATGACCTTATCAATCTTATTATCAAAAAAGGACAAACAATAAAGTACGACATTAAATACGGAGGTGAACCTGAACCTGAGGTTGTTTGGAAGAGGGACAAAACAGAATTGGCAGAGGATTCAGAACAGAGAATAACAATTGACAAATATGAGAAAAATACTGTTCTCACAGTACGTCGTGCTGTTAGGGGAGACAGTGGCAAATATACGCTTATATTGAAGAACAGTTCTGGAGTTTGCGAAAAATCTGCCGATGTTGTTGTACTAGACAAACCTACGCCTCCTAAGGGTCCTCTTAAAGCGGACGAGGTCCGTGCCGACCATGTAACCGTTTCGTGGAAGAAGCCGGACGATTTTGGCGGTTCCGATCTAGAAGGTTACGTGTTGGAAAAGATGGATATGGACACAGGACGTTGGGTTCCGGCCGGAGAAGTCGGACCGAACGACGAGAAATTTACATTCAAGAATCTGACCCCTAAGAAAAAATACAAATTTAGAGTCAAAGCTAAAAACAAGGAAGGTGAATCGGAACCTTTAGAAATCGATGAGCCGATCATTGCTAAGAATCCTTACGATGAACCAGGTCGTCCTGGCAAACCAGATATTATTGATTACGATAATAAAAGCGTCACTCTCAAATGGGCTCCTCCCGAAAGTGACGGAGGCCGCCCAATTTTACATTACGTTATTGAAATCAAAGATAAATTTGCCGCAGACTGGACGGAAATAACTAAAACAAAGGACAGTACTCCTGAAGGAAAGGTTGAAGGTTTAAAGGAAAAAATGGTATACCAATTCAGGATAATAGCGGTTAACAAGGCAGGAAAGAGTGAACCTTCAGAGCCAACAGACAATCACATTTGCAAACACAGAAACCGTAAGTATATGTTTCATTTAAAGGCAACAGAATACAGCTTTGCAAATGTAAAGGCGGATATAAAAATTTATATAATAAAACAATTAAAACTATTATACACGGAAATGCTTAAATCTTTTTTTTTTTGTTTTAATTTTTGTTTTGTTATTGTCTGAAAAACAACGACGCTTTTTAATTTTGCAGCAGAAAATAGCTATTTTTGTTTTGTTTTTTGAAAAGATGTTTTTTGCATCATCAATATTTGTATTTTTAGTAAAACCACGCATCGAACGTGAAACGTTCAAATCCATTATAATAAAAGCTGGTCGGACCCACAAGTGGTCCGTCGACATAACTGGTGAACCTCCACCAACGGTTAAATGGATTTGGCGTGACGATATACCACTTACTAATTCCGATCGCATAAAAATTGAAAATGTAGACTATCACACTGACTTTACTCTCATAAACGCGCAACGCAAAGACACTGGAAAATACACACTGATTGCCGAAAATTGCAACGGAAAAGACACTGAGACCGTTGAACTGACGGTTTTGGGAAAACCAGGCAGTCCGGAAGGTCCTCTCGAGATATCTGGTGTGACAGACACGAAAGCTAAAGTAGCTTGGAAAAAACCATTGGACGACGGTGGATCTCCTATTAAGGAATACGAGATCGAGAAATTGGACCTTGCCACTGGCAAATGGGTCCGTGTTGGAAAGGTCCCTGGTGACATTGATAAACCAGAGTTCGAAATAACCGGATTAAACCCGGGTTCCGAATATAAATTCAGAGTAACTGCTATCAACAACGAGGGAGATTCTGAGCCACTAGAATCCGATAGGAGCATAATTGCAAAGAATCCATACGACGAGCCGCTGAAACCTGGAACGCCCGAAATTGTGGACTACGACAACAAGGGAGTCGATCTGAAATGGACTCCACCCCAGAGCGACGGTGGAGCTCCTATTGAAAAATACATTATCGAAAAGAAAGATAGATATAAACCAGACTGGGAGAAGGCCATCGAAGTTCCAGGAAATCAACTGGAAGCCAGAGTAGAGGATCTGAAAGAACGCGGAGAGTACCAATTCCGAGTAATTGCTGTTAACAAAGCCGGCCCTTCGCCACCTTCGGACGCCTCTAAATTGCAGATAATCAAACACAGAGCACGTATGTATACAAATAACACAAAACACATTTACACACAACCCCTACACGTGCGTCTATTATTATTACGAAGTATATGAATCCACAAATATTCATATACTTATTTGTAATTTTACACGCGTGTAGGTCTTTATAATACCTATCACATTATTTACATGGTAAATTCCAATATGTATTGGGAAGTGAACAGATTCAACTTGAAATATTTTATACGTATTCTTTTTCATCTTTACTGCTGATTTTTTTGTTATCTAATGTGTGCTGCAAAGGTTTTGGCCAAAAGTGTCGCACTATTACGTAATCTTAGCCTAATTTCAAGCTTAAGATTTATTTGTATTTGAAGCTTAATCAGTACCTAACGTACAATAGTCGTTAACTTTTATTGTTATCAAATGAATTTGAATTTTTTGCTTCTTTATTTCACACACGTGCTTTTTGCTTTGCTTTATTTTTCTCTAGCCACTTTATTTGTTGGATAAACTTACAAATTTCAGAATGTGGCCAAAAACAACATGTAGCACATGCACTTATCATTTTTAACGGTACCATTACGAACATGGTAAGAAATAATGTCGAGCAAATTTGTTTATTATTAACTCTACTTTTATTATTATATTCACGCAATTACTTGTGGATATGAATATTAAAAAGAAAATTAACAAAAATAAAAAGAATATGAAAACGTCTCATTGCGTCTATATTTATGTACTTCAATGTAGGAAGGCTGCAACCGCGATAATCAACATCGAGCAACAGTGTAGAAAAACAAAAAATAATAATAAAACATTCATTTTAGTGAAGCCAAGAATTGACCGCACAAATTTGAAGCCTATTATTGTCCGAGCGGGCAAACCTATAAAGTATGACGTAAATGTCAGGGGAGAACCACCACCGACGATTACATGGTACCATGTTGAAAAAGAACTTAAATCCGAAGACAATATTGAAATTATCAATGTTGATTATAATACCAAATTAAATATAACTAATTCCGTCCGCAAAAATACTGGAGTATATAAAATAAAGGCAGTAAACGAACACGGTGAAGACGAGGCAGAGGTTGAAGTTACAGTTCTTTGTAAGATAATATCAAAAAACCATCGGTCCTCCGTTCGTTACGTTTCTGCTGCTTTCAGCTTCGCCTTCTAAACCGAAGGGACCTTTGAAGGTATCTGACGTAACTAAAAATGGATGCAAACTCAAATGGGACAAGCCAGAGGATGACGGTGGCAAGCCCATTTCAGCGTACGTTGTCGAAAAACTTGATAAAAATACAGGCCGTTGGGTTCCTGTCGGTAGAACCACGGAACCTGAAATGGATGTTAAAGGACTTCAAGAAGGTCACGAATATCAATTCAGAGTCAAGGCTGTTAATGAAGAAGGGGAATCCGAACCCCTAGAATCTGACGGAACAATTGTTGCCAAAAATCCTTACGGTACTGAATACGATTTACGCAATGTCAAAATTAAATCACCACGATGCTTATTCTTTCCTTATAGATATACCAGGCAAACCTGGTACCCCCGAGATTGTCGACTGGGGTCCAAATCATGTAAACCTAAAATGGACCGCCCCCAAGAGTACCGGTGGCGCGCCAATTACTGGATACGTCATTGAAAAGAAAGAAAAATTCTCCACCACCTGGGATGAAATTCACAGTACTGATGTAATAAAAATAAACGGGCAACATAACTCAATAGTTTTTTAATTCGGCACCTACCGTATTTTTCAGACTCCCGATACTGAAGCTACAGTACCTGGTCTTAAAGAAGGTAACACATATCAGTTCCGAGTGAGGGCAGTGAATAAGGCTGGACCTGGAGAACCATCGGACGCAACAGGGCAACACGTAGCCAAACATAGACATCGTAAGACTCATTATAGGTTTTACTAATTGGTATTCTTACTTAACGTATGGCTTTTCAGTGAAACCGTTGATTAACCGCGACAAACTGCATACCGTCAAAGTTAGGGCAGGACAAATTGTCAAATTCGATGTGGATGTTAAAGGAGAACCACCACCAACCATCACATGGAGTTTTGCTGGCAAACCTTTGGAACAAGGACCAAGTACCAAGATAGAAAACGAAGACTACAATACTAAATTAACACTAACTAATACTACTCGCAAAAACACAGGCACATACACTATTAGAGCTGAAAATGATTCTGGTTTCGACGAAGCTCCCGTTGAAGTCATAGTGCTTGATAAACCTGGCAAACCTGAAGGACCACTTCAAGTAAGCGACGTTCATAAAGAAGGATGCAAACTCAAATGGGACAAACCCAAAGATGATGGCGGTTTACCAATTTCCGGTTACGTAATTGAAAAACAAGATGAAGCAACTGGCAGATGGTTACCTGCAGGATTTGTAGAACCCGACAAAACTTTCGCCGATATCACCGGTCTCGAACCCAATCACAAGTACAACTTCCGAGTAAAAGCTGTAAATGAAGAAGGAGAATCTGAACCACTGGAAACTGATGCGTCTATCGTTGCAAAGAACCCATATGATATTCCTGCTCCACCTGGTCTTCCAGAGATCATCGATTATGACGAACATTCAGTTAAACTTAAATGGGAAGCGCCAATCAGAGATGGTGGTGCTCCAATTACTGGTTACATACTTGAAGTTATGGACAAATTTACCGGCCAATTTGTTAAAGCTGCAGAAGTTGGTCCAACAACGCAAGGAACTATACCCAAATTAGAGGAAGGAAATCAGTACAAATTTCGCGTGCGTGCCGTTAATAAAGCCGGACAATCTGAACCATCAGAGCAAACTAACTGGCATACTGCCAAACCTAGATTCTGTAAGTATAATAAACGCATGTTCCAGGGATACTAGATACGAGTATAATCATTTTTAATTTTTAGTAAAACCTTTGATCGACAGAAAGAACTTGAAGCCACTAACTGTAAAAGCAGGTTTGGTAATCAGTTTAGACGTTGACGTAAAAGGCGAACCTCCACCAACTGTAACGTGGTATTTCGAGGGCAAAGAGATTGTATCGAGCGAGGAAATCAAAATCGATAATATCGATTATAATACCAAATTCTTCGTTTCACGCGCTAAACGGGTACAATCTGGAAAATATACCATAACTGCCAAAAACTCAGTGGGCGAAGATACCGCCGACATTGATATTTTAGTTCTTGGCAAACCTTCTAATCCACAGGGTCCACTAGATGTATCTGATGTGCATAAACACGGCTGTAAACTTAAATGGAAGAAACCCGAAGATGACGGAGGCACTCCGATAGAATATTACGAAATAGAAAAACTTGATCCTCTTACAGGACAATGGGTTCCTTGTGCCAGAAGTACCGAACCAGAGGCCAACATCACAGGTCTCCAGGAAGGAAAGCCCTATAAATTTAGAGTGAAGGCGGTCAACAAGGAAGGTGAATCTGATGCATTAGAAACAGATAAACCAATTGTGGCCAAGAATCCATTTGGTAAGATGCAACATAAGTTAAGAAAATATCTTCTAATTCCTTTATTCTTTTTCTTAATGCAGACGAACCAGGAAAACCAGGTCGTCCAGAAATCAAAGACTGGGACAAAGATTTCGTTGAACTGCAATGGACTCCGCCAAGTGACGATGGTGGTGCACCGATTGAAAAGTATATCATCCAAAAGAGAGATAAAGCAAGTCGTGGTTGGGTTGATGCAGCTGTTGTACCTGGTAATAAGACAAATGGAAGAGTGGACGACGTAGATGAGGGTCATGAATATGAATTCCGCATTGTCGCTGTCAACAAAGCTGGTCCTAGTGAACCCAGCGATGCATCTAAATCCGTTATTGCTAAACCCCGAAAATGTAATATCTTAATATCTGATTATTTAATAAATATAACACTATTTGTTTTATTAACCCCTAGTGGCACCCAGAATTGATCGCAAAAATCTACAGAAGAAGGTATTGCGTACAGGACAACTGTTGCGAATGGAGGCTGATGTTACTGGAGAGCCTGCTCCCACGGTAACATGGACCATTAATGAAGAAACTTTAAGAAACACTGACCGCCTAAAAATTGAAAACGAGGAATACAAAACTACATTTGTTTTACAAAAGGCGCAAAGAACTGATACTGGAACTTACACGGTCACCGCCAGAAATGAACACGGTGTAGATTCCGTCGATGTAGAGATCCAAGTTCTCAGCAAACCTTCTAAGCCGAAAGGACCTCTTAAAGTATCAGACGTCACAGCTGAAGGATGTAAACTAAAATGGGAGCCTCCGGAAGATGACGGTGGCGAACCGGTTACCGGTTATGTTGTAGAGAGAATGGATGTAGAAACCGGTAGATGGGTCCCCGTGGCAACAACTAAAACTCCAGAAGCAGATGTAAGTGGATTAACTGAAGGAAAGGACTACCAATTCCGCGTAAAAGCTGTAAACTCAGAAGGTGAATCTGAACCTTTAGTCACCGATGTTCCGACAACAGCTAAGAATCCGTACACTGAACCAGACACGCCTGGTAAACCAGAAGTTAAAGACTGGGACAAAAAGCACGCTGATCTTAAATGGACGGCACCCAAGAGCGACGGAGGAGCTCCTATAGAAAAATACATCATTGAAAAGAAAGAGCCGCTCAGCGGCAAATGGGTAAAAGCGGTGGAGGTGCCGGGAAATAAAACCGAAGCTAAAGTTCCCGATCTAATTGAAGGTCAAAAGTATCAGTTTAGAGTGAAAGCCGTAAATAAAGGTGGTCAAAGTAAGCCATCGCAACCATCCGACACAATCACCGCTAAAGACAGATTTGTTCCCCCGAAAATTGATAGGACAACATTGAGGGACATTGTGGTTAAAGCCGGACAACATATCCGTTTAGACGTAAAAGTAACTGGCGAAGAGCCTCCAAGTAAGGTGTGGTTCTTGAATAAAGCCCGTATCGAAAATAGAGACGATATTACCGTTGAAACAGAAGACTACAGAACTAAGTTAGTCGTAGGAATTGCACAGCGCAGTCATTCTGGAACATTAGTACTCAAGGCTGAGAATGCCAGTGGTAAAGATGAGGCCAGCATTACAATAAAAGTTCTAGACAAACCTGGTAAACCAGAAGGACCTCTAAGGATAAGCGATGTACACAAAGAGGGTTGTACACTTAAGTGGAAAGAACCCGAAGACGATGGAGGAGTTCCATTGGAAGGATACCTAGTTGAAAAACTAGATTTAGACTCTGGCCGCTGGATTCCAGCAGGGCGAACAAGAGATACAAAGATTGACCTCAATAATCTTGAACCTGGACAAGAATATAAATTTAGAGTTTCTGCGGTCAACTCCGAAGGCGTATCAGAACCTTTGGAAGCATCAGAATCAATAGTTGCCAAAAATCCATTTGGTGAGCTTATTTTTTTTATTTAACCTAGCATACACTTATATCAAATATGTGTTTATTTCAGACGAACCTGGGCCGCCAGGAACACCTGAAGTTACTGACTGGGATAAAGATCATGTTGATTTGAAATGGACACCACCAATTAAAGACGGTGGTTCTCCGATTACCGGTTACATTATCGAAAAACGAGAGAAAGGTTCTCCCAAGTGGACTAAAGCCGCAGAAGTTGGTCCTCACGAGACCAAAGGTACTGCTGATAATTTGGACGAAGGTGTTGAATATGAATTCAGGGTTCGTGCTGTTAATGCAGCAGGACCTGGAGAACCAAGTCAAGCTTCTAAATCAGTTATCACTAAACCGCGTAAACGTACGTATACAATAGTACTGTATTGTTCATCTGGTGTTAATTTAAATGTTTTCTTACTTTATTAGTTCCTCCTAAGATCGATCGTCGCAATTTACGAGATCTCACTGTCAAAGAAGGAGAGCCAATCTACATTGACGTTAAGATTAGTGGAGAACCTCCACCAGAAGTAACGTGGTATGTCGACAACAAACTTTTCACCGACAGCAAAAATCGACGAGTTGAAAATGTACCTTACAATTCCAAACTGTTTAATGATAAACCTGAGAGAAAGGATACCGGCGTTTACAAAATCACGGCTACAAATAAATACGGTTCCGATACGGCCGAAATTGAAATTACAGTGATATGTAAGTAAATGTAACATTAAACCAAGAAAATTATTTCATTGTAATGTTTTAACAGCTAAACCAGGACAACCTGAAGGACCGCTAGAAGTGTCCGACGTCCACAAAGACGGATGTACATTGAAGTGGAAGAAGCCTAAAGATGACGGAGGTGAACCAATAGAAGGATATGTTATCGAGAAATTCGATCCTGAAACAGGAGTATGGTTACCTGTTACTAAAACAACTGGTCCTACACCCGAAGCTAAAGTAGATGGTCTTATTCCCGGCCACGAATACAAATTTAGAGTAAAGGCAGTTAACAAAGAAGGGGAATCCGAACCTTTAGAAACATTTGGAACCATTACCGCCAAAGATCCTTTCAGTACGTTACCACCTCGAAATAAATTGAATACATAATATAATTTTGCGGTAATATTTTAGCAACACCTGGCAAACCTGGTGCACCAGAGCCGGAAGACTGGAGTGCAACACATGTTGATCTCAAATGGGCAGAACCTATTTCAGACGGAGGTTCTCCCATTACCGGTTATATAATAGAAAAGAAGGATAAATACAGTCCTCTATGGGAGAAAGCATTAGAAACTACATCTCCTACTCCAACAGCTACTATTGGAGGACTTATCGAAGGAAATGAATATCAGTTCCGTGTAATTGCAGTTAACAAAGCGGGACAGAGTGAGCCTTCCGAAGCTGGCAAATCATTCATTGCTAAACCGCGATATCGTAAGTCAAATTTAATTACGAAAAATGCCTATTTCTTTTAACCACCTGTATATTTCAGTCGCTCCTAAGATCGACCGAAGATATCTGCACGATATTACTCTATCAGCGGGTTCAACCCTGAAATATGAGGCTAATATCATTGGCGAACCTCCACCAACCGTAGACTGGCGATTTAACGGAAGTACGTTGAAAGATAGCAACAAAGTTACTATCAACAATGTTGACTATCACACGAAGATTTCAATAAGAAACGTAAAACGGGAAGATACAGGAGAATATACTGTAATAGCAACAAACAGCTCTGGAAAGGACCAGGTATCTCTAAATGTTACCGTTACTGACAAGCCTGCTGCTCCCGAAGGTCCATTACAAGTTAACGATGTACACAAAGAAGGATGTAAACTTAAATGGAAGCGTCCCAAAGACGATGGAGGTACCCCCATCGAATATTATCAAGTCGAGAAAATGGACACAGAAACAGGCGCTTGGGTTCCTTGTGCAAGATCTACTGAACCTAGTAATATTTTCATCTAAAATAACATCATTATAAACTCAACTAACAATTTTTCCTATTTTCAGATGCGGAAGTGACTGGTTTGACCCCTGGAAAAGAATACAAATTTAGAGTTTCTGCAGTTAATGCAGAAGGCGAGTCTAAGCCTCTTGAAGCTGAAACAGCAATAGTGGCCAAAAATCCATTCGGTATGGTTGCCTTATGTGAGCATTCTATCTATTTCGAAATACAATAATCTTTCTTTCAGATGAACCAGGAGCTCCTGGCAATCTTAAAGCTACAGACTGGGATAAAGACCACGTTGATCTCGCTTGGACTCCTCCTAAAGAAGATGGTGGTTCTCCAGTAACAGGTTACATCGTTGAAAAGAAAGACAAATTCGGCGATTGGGAAAAAGCAGTTGAAGTGCCAGCTGGTCAACTGAAAGCAACCGTTCCAGACTTAATAGAAGGTCAACCCTACCAGTTTCGAGTGCGTGCAGTAAATGCTGCCGGGCCTGGCGAACCAAGCAACGAAACACCTACTATTATTGCTAAACCTCGCAATTTGGCACCTAAAATTGATAGGACTAATCTTATCGAGATACGCATTAAAGCAGGTCAAAATTTCAGCTACGACGTTAAAGTAACAGGTGAACCTATGCCCGAAACTAAATGGCTGATCAAAGGAAGAGAACTGAGAAATACCGATAAAATAAAAATTCAGCATTCTGATTATAACACAAAGATCTCAGTTAAAAATGCCACGCGAGCTGAAGCCGGTACATACACTGTAACGGCAGAAAACATAAACGGAAAAGACATTGCTGACGTTGAAGTTATTGTTTTGGATGTTCCAAGTCCACCTGGTGGACCTTTGAAAGTTTCGGACGTTCACGCTAACGGAGCCAAGCTTAGCTGGAGACCACCATCGGACGATGGTGGAAATCCCGTTGAAAAATATGTCGTTGAGAAAATGGACGAGGCTACTGGACGTTGGGTTCCCGCTGGAGAAACTGATGGTCCACAAACTTCCCTTGCCATCGACGGTCTTACACCAGGAAAGAAATACAAATTCAGAGTACGAGCTGTCAATAAGCAAGGAAAATCTGAACCATTACAAACAAGTCAAGCTATTGAAGCTAAAAATCCATTTGACGAACCTGGTAAACCAGGGGTTCCTGAAATTACTGATTACGATACCGACTTTGTCGAATTAAAATGGGCTAAACCCGAAAATGACGGGGGATCGCCGATTACTGGATATATTATTGAAAAGAGAGATAAATTTAATCCAAATTGGGAAAAATGTGCCGAAGTAGAAGGTGACGTACCAACTGGAAAAGTTAAAGACTTGATTGAAGGAACACCTTACGAATTCAGAATAAGAGCAGTCAACAAAGCGGGTCCTGGTGAACCAAGTAGTGCATCCAAGATACACGTTGCCAGGCCTAAGAACCGTGAGTATTTCAGAAAATAATTGTTTTATTTTAATCCGACTTTAACCGTCTCTTTCAGTCGCCCCGAAAATTGACAGAAACGCATTACTCAACATTAAAGTTCGTGTTGGCCAATCGTTCGAATTCAACGTCCCTGTTATCGGCGAACCGCCTCCATCTAAAGAATGGGAACTTAAAGGAAACGTTATCTTTAATGATGAACGAATTAAAATTATAAACGAAGATTACAATACAAAATTACGCGTAATCGATGCTAAACGCTCAGATAGTGGAACCTACCAACTTACAGCTAAGAATATTAACGGAAAAGATGTTGCCACCGTAAATGTTACCGTTTTAGACGTGCCAACACCACCCGAAGGACCTCTCAGAGCCGACAATGTTACGAAGAGCTCCCTAAGATTATCTTGGAAACCACCAAAAGATGATGGCGGTTCAGAAATCACTCATTACGTTGTTGAAAAAATGGACGCCGAAAATATGAGATGGGTTCCAGTTGGAGAATCAGTTGAGCCAACAATAAGAGTTGATCATTTAGCGGAAGGTCATGATTATAACTTCCGAGTATGTGCTGTCAATCGTCAAGGAGAATCTGCTCCTCTTACAACGAGAGAAGCAATCACCGCGAAAGATCCCTTCACTAGACCAGACAAACCTGGAGTTCCCAAAGCTACAGACTGGGATAAAGATCATGTTGATTTGGAATGGACTCCACCAAAGAAAGATGGCGGAGCACCAATTACTGGATACATTATCGAAAAGAGACCAAAGAACGGGTAAGTTTTCTAAAGTAGAAACTTTTAACTACTATTAACTTTCATCAATGTGTATTTTCAGAACTTGGGAAAGAGCCATCGAAGTACCAGGGGATAAAACGAGCGCTACGGTGCCTAATTTGAGAGAAGGTGAAGAATATGAATTCAGAGTAATCGCTGTCAATAAAGGAGGAAACTCCGAACCCAGCGAAGCTTCGTTGCCTGTCATTGCTAAACCACGATTCTTGGCACCTACATTCGACAAAACTCTTCTACACGATCTTATTGTAAAAGCCGGTAATCGCATCAGTTACGAAATACCGATTGAAGCATCGCCAAAACCAACAGCCAAATGGTCTGTCAACGGAAAAGAAATCCAACCAAGTGACAGAGTTGACATGCAAGTTTTCAACAACAGGGTTTGCTTTGAAATACCATTTTCAGTTAGGGCAGACTCTGGCAGATACACACTTACTTTAACGAACGATCACGGTTCAATTTCAGCATCTGCTAATGTTACTGTGATAGATCGTCCAGGCCAACCACAACCTCCATTAGATGTGGGTAGTGTCACAAAAGAAAGCGCCAGAATATCCTGGAAGCCTCCTCTCGATGATGGCGGTTCTCCCATTTTACATTACATCGTTGAAAAAATGGATGTATCTCGAGGTACATGGTCAGACGCAGGCATGTCTGCAATCTGTGTTCACGACATTCAACGTTTGATTCATAAGAAAGAGTATTTCTTCCGAGTTAAAGCAGTTAATTCGGTGGGAGAATCAGAGCCTCTTGAAACAACTAAAGGAATCATAGCCAAGAACGAATTCGGTACAAAACAATCAACTAATACAACTTAACGGACGATTATCATTCTTATTGTTATAATTATTATGTTTTAGACGAGCCTGAAGCTCCTGGAAAACCGCAAGTGACCGACTGGGACAAAGATCACGTTGATTTAGAATGGGAGGCTCCGAAGAGCGACGGTGGATCTCCCATCACCGGTTACATAATTCAAAAGAAGGAAAAAGGTAGTCCTTACTGGGTTAATGCTGCACAAGTATCTCCCAGAAAAACAAGCGCACGGGTACCCGATTTAGTTGAAGGACAAGAGTACGAATTCAGAATTATTGCTACAAATAATGCTGGCCAAAGTGAACCTTCAGAACCATCAGACTTGGTTACAGCCAAAGCCAGATTCCGTATGTCGTGAAATATAGTACAATAGACTTATCAATTTTTTTAATTACACGCAATTACAGTGGCTCCTAAAATCAAAACTCCACTTAATGACATTCGCATTAAAGCTGGTCTTATTCTTCACGTCGATATTGATTTCATTGGAGAACCAACTCCAGACGTAACATGGACTGTCGATGGAAAATCTTTAACACCGGACTCGCGCACAACGGTAACCTCTATAGGGCACCACACTGTTGTCCACACGGTAAACGCTAAGAGGACAGATAGCGGAGTTTACAAATTACATTTGAAAAATTCATCAGGAACGGATGAAGGGTCATTCCAAGTTATAGTTCTTGGTAAAGGGTTCTCTCTATTATTATTCATTTACTTTTTAATATAAAAAGGACTTTCATAATCGAACATCTCTTATTTATTAGATCGTCCTGGACCACCACAAGGTCCTTTGGAATACGAGGAAGTCACAGCCCAAAGTGTTACGCTTTCATGGAAAGCACCGAAAGATAATGGAGGCAGCGAAATTACGTAAGTGAAAAAAAACATCGGCAATTTTCAGAACGTAATGTTCAGGATGTCTACAAAAAATGGATCAGTCTAGTCAAAATCATCATCATCATAAGGTCGTCAGTCTTAAGACTGGTTGGACACGCACCTCCACTGTTTCCTATCCTGAGCTAATCTTCACATTTCCCTAAAACTGGAACAACTAACTATTTGCGAACAGTAATCTAATCTAACTCTATCTCTACCTCTCCTAACTCCCGTTTCCTCTGATATGTCTCTGACTAGACCTTCATGCCTGAGAAGGTGTCCTACCAACCTATCTCGCCTATTTCTTATTGACTTCCATAGAGACTTCTGCTCCCCTATTCTTTCTAATACCTCCTCATTTCTAACCTTCTCTATCCACGGTATCCTCATCATTCGCATGTAACACCACATTTCGAACGCTTCTAACCTTTTCTTTTCTAGTCAAATATGGCTTTAATAATTACTTTTTTAATTTTGATAAAACTAAACTGATACTGCCCTGATTCGGTCCTAAAAGTCGTCATCGGTTAGAGTTCCTTTTTAACGTTTCGCTAGCACGAGGTTCTTCTCCGATAGTGAACGACGAAAACAACCTTTAAACCCAAATCAGGACAGATGCTGTCATTCACTGTTTTGGCCGCGAAAGCCTTTACCAATTCGTTCGATAAAACTATTTTAAAGCGATATACGACTAATCTTATTCGCTACTGAAGTATTAGTATGTAAGAAATATTATTATAACAGGGGATACGTTATTGAAAAGCGCGACTTAACGCATGGAGGAGGATGGGTCCCCGCAGTGACTTACGTAAGTCCGAAGAATACTCACGCGGTCGTTCCCAGATTACTTGAAGGAACAAAATACGAGTTCAGGGTCTTTGCAGAAAATCTACAGGGTCGCTCAGATCCTCTAGATACCGAAAAACCAGTGGTTGCTAAAAACCAATACGGTAATAATACAATTTCACATTTCGGCCAGAATAGTTAACGAAACGGGTTTTCGTTTTGGCTTTTTAGATGTCCCTGGAAAACCAGGAAAGCCACAACTGGTCGATAGCGACAAGGACCATATTAAAATTAAATGGTCAGCACCTATCAGCAACGGTGGTTCGCCCATCATTGGGTACGATGTTGAAAGAAGAGACAGAGCAACCGGACGATGGGTTAAACTTAACAAAGAACCCGTTAAACATATGGAATATTATGACGATAGGGTGCAAGAAGGTCACCAATATGAATACAGAGTGTCTGCTGTTAATGCAGCCGGACCTGGTAAACCTAGCGATACATCTAATGTATTCACAGCTAAACCGATGAAAGGTATTTTTATTACTGTGAATTTTTTAAATACCGCAAGCGTATTAATTAAATGTTTACAGAAAAACCAAAATTGTTCTTGGATGGAATTATTGGCAGAAAAATCAAAGTTCGGGCAGGAGAACCAATCAATGTGGATATTCCCATTGCTGGTGCTCCAACGCCGACAATCGAATGGACGAAAAATGCTACGCGCCTTCCCGAAACTAACAGAATATCGGCAAGTGAAATTTATTATTAGCTAAAAAAAAACATATTTTTATATATTTATTTTTACAGTCTGAAACAACAAGTGAACACACAGTTTTACGAATTGAAGCTACTACTCGTCAAGACTCGGGCAAATATACCGTCTTTGCTAAGAACGAGTACGGTTCTGATCAAGGCGACATAGAAGTAGTCGTTGTTGATAAACCTGGAATTCCCAGAGGTCCTCTTCAATACACCGAAACAACACAAGAAACAGTTTCGCTATCTTGGAATCCACCAGATGACGATGGCGGCGGTGATATTACCGGATATATAATTGAAATAAGTGAATTTGGCACTGACAGTTGGCGTCCTGTCCCAGGATTTTGTCCCAGACCATCGTTTACAGTACGAGGACTTACAGAGGGCAAAAAATACGTATTCCGTGTGCGTGCGGAAAATATCTACGGCGTTTCCGAACCACTAGAAGGCAAACCTGTTGTTGCAAAGAGTCCATTTGATCCTCCAGATGCACCTAGTCAACCAGAAGTTACCGGATATACTCCGTCGAGTGTGTCTTTGAAATGGAATCCTCCAACGTACACTGGAGGCAAGCCAATTACTGGATATTATGTAGAGAAACGAGAAAGGGGAGGCGAATGGATTAAGGTCAACAATTACCCGACACCAAACACTAGTTACACCGCCCAAGACTTACGTGAAGGCGGAAAATACGAGTTCCGTGTAATTGCAGTGAATGAAGCTGGACCAGGTAAACCTAGCAAACCTACCGAACCTGTTACACCACAACACCAAAGATGTAAGTTTAGCCACACCTGTCATACACTAGAATATGGTCTAATCCTTGAATTTATTACAGTCAAACCGTCTGCTCCTGAACCACCCAAGGCGGATCGTATTACTAAAGACAGCGTCACACTTTCGTGGAGACCGCCCAAGAGTGATGGAGGATCCAAGATAAAAGGATACATCCTACAGAAACGTCCTAAGGGCGATGAAAATTGGGAAGATGTCAATATTTCGCCAATATCAGAAAATATCCATACTGTGCCTAACTTAAAAGAAGGTCAAGAGTACCAGTTCAGGGTTATAGCTGTTAATGACGTAGGTCCTTCTGAACCCAGTAGACCTAGCAATAACATATTGATTGAAGAACAACCGAACAAACCATGTATTGATTTGGGAGCCGTTCGTGATATTACTGTACGAGCCGGCGAAGATTTTAGTATTCATGTGCCGTATGTCGGTTTTCCGAAACCGACTGCGACCTGGTTTGCAAACGACAAAATTTTGGACGAATCTGATACAAGAGTGTTCCCACAACTGGCTGATGACTATGCAAGCATTATTGTTAAGAATTCTAAGAGAAGCGACACTGGACAATATCGTCTACAACTCAAAAACCCATCCGGTTTTGATACGGCAACCTTAAACGTAAGAGTCTTAGATCGTCCTGGTAAACCTGAAAACCTAAGAGCGGACGAATTCGCTGGGGATGCCCTTACACTATACTGGCAGCCGCCCAAAGACAATGGAGGTGCTGAAATAACAAACTACATTATCGAGAAAAAAGAAGCTAAATCCCAAACGTGGTCAAAAGTAAGCAGCTACGTTACTGTGCCCTTCGTTCGTATACGCAACTTGACCCTTGGCAAAGAATACGAATTCAGAGTATTTGCTGAAAATAAATATGGCCAATCAGAACCTGCCGTTACGTTAGAGCCAATTAGAGCCCGTCATCCATTCGGTAATATTATCATATGTCCTGTTTTATATACGTTATTACTGTTTTCTTCCATTTTCAGATCCACCTGGACCACCAGGTGCTCCTAGAGGCATTGAAACCACTGAAGATTCAATTACAATCCAATGGACAAAACCACGTCATGATGGAGGATCTCCAATAACTGGTTACGTAATCGAAAAACGTCTTATTTCGGAAGATAAATGGACAAAAGCAGCACACGCTGTTATTCCGGATCTCTCACACAAGTAATTAAAAACTTTTCTCATAAAAAGTTCTATGAAATAAAAATGTTGCTTTTATTTGCAGAGTCATCAACTTGATAGAAAATCACGAATACGAATTCCGTGTAGCAGCTTTAAATGCTGCAGGACAAGGTCCATGGAGTTCTTCTTCGGACATCATAGTTTGTAGAGCGCCTCCATGCGCTCCTAGAATAACATCAGACCTCAGCATTCGCGACATAGTTGTCGTAGCCGGAGAAGAATTCTCTATATCAGTTCCCTATGTGGCCACACCAAAACCTTCGGCTTCTTGGACAATAAACGGCAACGAAGTCATCGGAGACAATAGGATAAAAATGGAAACAAACGAAATTGCTTCCATATTCCACAACAAGTGTGCCAAACGCTCGGACACTGGAAGCTACACCATTAAGCTTACTAACAATGTAGGTTCAGATTCAGCTTCATGCAGAGTACAAGTGGTAGATAAACCTCAACCACCACAAGGACCGCTCGATGTCTCCGACATAACACCAGACAACTGCTCACTAGCCTGGAGACCACCGCTAGATGACGGTGGTTCACCAATAACCAACTACATCGTTGAGAAACTGGATGTCAGTGGAGTAAGTATTACATACCTACAAACCCTTTATAGAATTTTGATTAACATATGTCTACTTCATTCCAGATTTGGGTAAAAGTTAGCAGTTTTGTTCGTAACACACATTACGATGTTATGGGACTAGAACCCAACAAGCGGTACAGCTTTAGAGTTCGTGCTGAAAACCAGTATGGCATTAGCGAACCGCTTGAGACCTTGGAACCCATCACCGCCAAATTTCCATTTACTGTACCAGATCCTCCAGGCGCGCCACGTGTTACCGATTGGGATACAAGTTCAGTATCCCTCCAATGGACAAGACCACCTAATGATGGAGGTTCGCGTATTCAAGGTTACAAATTGGAATATCGTGATATCCACGACGCTCATTGGTCACCCGCCAGTGACTACTTGATCAAAGATACCCACTTTATACTCTACAACTTAACAAGCGGTCACGAATACGAATTCAGAGTTAGAGCTAAAAACGCCGCTGGTTTAAGTAAACCATCGAGCTCCTCTTCCAAGTTCAAACTAAAGGGCAAATATAACGTGCCATCGCCTCCTAACAATCCAAAAGTTGTCAAAGTTGGACGAAATTACGTTGATCTAACTTGGGAACCACCGGCAAGTGATGGCGGATCCAAAATAACCGGATACATAATTGAAAAGAGAGAAATCGGTAGTGCCATGTGGACAAGGTGTAATGAATACAACGTTACTGACACCAACTATACTGCCCTAAACCTAACGGAAAGATTCGACTACGAATTCCGTATTTCTGCTATCAACGCAGCTGGAAAGAGTGAGCCCAGCACATGCACAACACCAGTCAAAGTTTGTGAAGTCGTGGGAGGTGAAAAACCTGAATGGATTAGAACATTTAATAATCACTCGGCTCCATTGGGAAGACCGCATTCCATCGAATGTGAGGCGTCTGGAATTCCAGTACCGACATTCCGCTGGCTTAAGAACGGCCGGGAAATATCGTCTGGCGGTCGCTTTAGAATCGAGACCAAAGGTGGAACTTGCTGGTTACATATATCAGAAGTTCTTGATATTGACGAAGGCGATTATACATGCGAAGCTAGCAACGCAGTAGGATCTGCCCATCATACTGCTCGGCTCAAAATTGGATGTAAGTTTAAATAGTTGAGATTCATTTTCAAGTTTTATTTCACTGAGTGTTGAATATTTTTTTCAGCTCCGCCAAGAATTGAGCGTCTTCCTGGTGATTTGTATCTTCCAGAAAATGATAATACCAAAATTAAAATCTACTACAGTGGCGATCAGCCTCTCGACGTTACTCTGTCAAAAGACGGAATTAATATTGAAGAATCATCTCACATTAAATTTACCGTTTTCGACGATTATATCATAATCTTCATTAAAGATATTAAGAAAGAGGATGCAGGAACGTACAATGTAACCGTTAAAAATGATAGCGGTAGTGCATCAGGTAGCTTCAATGTATTTATTACTGGACTTCCTGGACCACCAAATGGTCCTCTTGAGATTTCTGATATAAGCAAGCACACATGTACTCTCAGATGGAAACCTCCTAGTTACGATGGGGGACTTCGCATTACCCATTACGTTATTGAACGCAAGGACGTAACCCTGCCTCACTGGCTCGTTGTTTCTAGCACTTGCAAGGATACCACTTGCACAGTGCAAGGTCTCACAGAAGGCCAAGAGTACCTATTCCGCGTAATGGCTGTGAATGACAACGGCATGGGACCACCCCTTGATGGTCTCAATCCCATTAAAGCCAAAGCTCCATTCGATCCACCATCCGCTCCAGGAACTCCAAAAGTTACTGAAGTTGGTGGTGACTTCGTCCATCTTGAATGGGACAAACCTGAATCAGACGGAGGTGCCAGGATCCAGGGTTACTGGATTGATAAACGTGAAGTTGGAAGCAGCGCATGGCAAAGAGTTAATGTTGCCATTTGTCCTGCTAACCAAATCAGCATACCAAATCTAATCGAAGGAAGGCAGTACGAATTCCGTGTCTATGCCCAGAACATAGCTGGTTTATCCCCAGCGTCGACTGCATCCACGTCAGTCACAATTGTCGATCCTTTGGCTGCCTCACCTCCTGAGATCATAAAACCATTGAAGAACGCTCACTGCATCCAACACCACAATGCCAAATTCGACTGTACCATCACTGGTATACCTAATCCAGTAATCACTTGGTATAAGGGTGCGCGGGAAATTGTTAACGGATCCCGTTATCACATTTACAGTGAAGGGGAGGTTCATCATTTGGTGATCAACGATGTCTTCGGTGAAGACGCTGACGAATACGTATGCAGAGCAGTTAACAAAGGAGGTGTCAAGTCTACAAGAGCAGAACTTATTATCATGAGTAAGTGTATATATAAATTTACAAAGGGACAACGTTTTATATTGTTAATTTTCAGCGGCCCCCAAACTGAACGTTCCTCCAAGATTCCGTGACACTGCATTCTTCGATAAAGGAGAAAACGTTGTTATTAAAATTCCATTCACTGGAAATCCAAAACCAAGAATTACATGGGTCCGAGAGGGCGAAGTAATAGAATCTGGTGGTCACTATCACGTTGAAGTAAAAGACAGGCATGCAATCCTAACAATTAGGGACGGTAGTCGTCTTGACAGCGGTCCCTATAGAATAACTGCCGAAAATGACCAGGGTCAAGATTCTGCCATTATAAAGATACAGATTGCAGGTAACTTTATTTTGTTTGCAATACGATGATCCATGCCTTTATCTCGTTTAATTAACTATTCCAGATCGTCCCGATCCTCCTAGATTCCCAACTATCGAAAGTATCGGTACAGACTCATTGGCTCTTTCATGGAAGGCTCCTGTATGGGACGGTGGAAGCAACATCACTAATTATTTGGTAGAAAAACGAGAACATCCGCTATCAACTTGGATTCGAGTAGGAAATACTCGTTTTACAACCATGGCTGTAGACGGACTTGCTCCAGGTCATCAATACGAATTCAGAATATACGCCGAAAATATCTACGGACGTTCAGATCCATCGGAAGTTAGTCCACTAATCACTACTAAAGATACGGGTAAAAAGAAGGTTGAGAAACGGAAGTATGAGGTTGACGAAACAGGAAAGAAAATTAGAGAATCCGCAAAAGAACCGATTAAGGACTACGATCAGTACGTTTTCGACATTTACTCCAAATATGTTCCTCAACCAGTCGAAATCAAAAGCAGAAGTGTATATGACGATTATGACATTCTTGAAGAAATTGGAACAGGAGCGTTCGGTGTAGTTCACAGATGTAGAGAACGTAAAACAGGAAACATCTTTGCCGCCAAATTTATTCCTGTATCTCATGCAATGGAAAAGGAACTGATTCGCAAAGAAATTGATATTATGAATCAATTACATCATCCTAAACTAATCAATCTCCATGACGCCTTTGAAGACGATGACGAAATGGTCTTGATTTATGAATTGTAAGTATCACTAATCATTGCTTTTTAAACTTAATTTCAACGTAACAACTTCTACAGCTTATCTGGAGGTGAACTCTTCGAAAGAATAACAGCAGAAGGATACCAAATGTCCGAAGCTGAAGTAATAAATTATATGAGACAAATTTGTGAAGGTATCAAACACATGCACGAAAGAAACATAATTCACTTGGACGTAAAACCAGAGAATATCATGTGCCAAACCAAGAAGAGTACGAATATAAAATTAATAGATTTCGGTTTAGCAACGAAACTGGATCCCAACGAAGTTGTCAAAATATCAACAGGAACTGCAGAATTTGCAGCACCTGAAATAGTTGAACGTGAACCGGTGGGCTTCTACACAGACATGTGGGCTGTTGGTGTACTTGCTTATGTATTGTAAGTGTTTTATTGTACAGCAGCATTATCTAAGATTATTATTATAACTAAACTGGTGTAGGTTGAGTGGCTTGTCTCCGTTCGCTGGAGAAAATGACATTGAGACCCTGAAAAACGTAAAGAACTGCGACTGGGAATTCGACGAGGAAGCTTTTGGAAACGTATCCGAGGAAGGAAAAGACTTCATCCGTAGACTATTACTTAAAAACAAAGAGTGAGAAATCTACCATGGGCATCAAAAGAACCTGCTAACTGCTTATAATTATAATTAACAAAATATTTTTTCTATATTACAGGAAGAGAATGACAGCACAGGAATGTCTTCTCCACGCGTGGTTGAGCGGCGATCACAGCAATAGAACCGAAGAAATTGATCAGTCGAAATACTACAAGATGAGAGACAAAATCCGTTCTAAATACGAAAACTGGGAGAAATATGTACTACCAATTGGCAGACTATCCGAGTACTCGTCCCTCAGGAAGTTGCTGGTCGAAAAATACCACATACATGAAACATACTTCGGTAGAAATCGCTTACATTTGTTTTCTATATTAATTTTGTGGATATTTTTTATAAATTTCGTGTGTTTAATAATTTTCAGATCGAAGACAAGCAGCTCCAAGATTTGTTATCAAACCTCAAAACGCATTCTGCTACGAAGGGCAGAGTGTGAAACTTTACTGTAGGGTCGTTGGTGTCGCAACACCTACAGTTACATGGTACAGAAATAACCAAGAACTCAGACAGAGCGTCAAGTTCATGAAGCGATACGTTGGTGACGATTACTACTTCATCATAAACAGAGTAAGACTAGAAGATAGAGGCGAATACATAATAAGGGCAGAAAACCATTACGGAGCAACAGAGGAGGTTGTGTTCCTTAACGTCCAACGTGAGTTTAGAATTAAATCTCATAAAATAATGTAGGTATTTATGTGTTCTTCTATTACAGCTCTTCCAAAGGTCGTTCCCGAATATCAACCAGAGGCTCAACCGGTCAGAAGACGTCAACCTCTTCCTTACAATCTGTGGCAGGAAGAATCAGAATGTGCTCCCAGTTTCACATTCTTACTCCGTCCCCGCGTCATGCAAGAACGTGACACTTGTAAATTGTTGTGTTGTCTTAGCGGAAAACCCGTACCGACTGTGAAGTGGTACAAAGATAAACGAGAATTAAGCAAATACGACTATTCGATGACCCACTCTGACGGAGTTGTTACCATGGAAATTTCTGGATGCAGACCTGAAGATTCCGGACGATACACTTGCGTTGCAACTAACTGTCACGGTACAGATGAAACCTCCTGCGTTGTCATCGTCGAAGGAGTAACCAGTACTGCAGAACAAACTAGAATTGCTGAAAAGATTTTACATTCTGGTGACCGCAAATATATTGAGCAGCCCATTAAGCCTGCTCCCGTCCCCGTGATAATAAAGAAAAATATTGTTTCCCAGCCACCAACGCGATCAGGTGCTGCTGAAAGTAGTTTAAGTCATTCCGCATCTAATCTAAGTGTCAACGAAGGTGATAAGAGATCATCCAAGAAATATGGACGTCTAGATTCCAGCGGAAGCCCGAGCAGATCCAGAAATTCCACCAAGGAATTAGCCTGTAATTTCCATTTTCATTCTAATACGACTTGTATTTAAATTGTTTTTTATTCTTAGTTCCTCCAGATGACTCCACAATGTGTCCTCCCAAGTTCACGAAAGAATTGAAAGATTTAACCATAAATGACGGCGAATCATTAACACTCAGTTGTATAGTACAGGGTGACCCTGAACCGCAAGTAACCTGGACCAAAAATAGCAAGGTATGCGTCCGAATACGTGCCCTTTTCGTTCGTTAAAATTAATAATATCATAATTAACTTTACAGACATTAAGTTCGTCCGACATAATCGACCTTAAATACAAAAACGGCATTGCTACTCTTCATATTAATGAGGTATTCCCAGAAGACGAAGGGGATTACACATGTAAAGCCACAAATTCATTAGGAACCGTAGAAACCACATGCCATCTTACCATAAAACGTAAGTATTTTGCCTTTAAAATATCGTAAATAATTTTAAGACCTCAAGAGCGGTCATTTGCAGGTGCAAGGTTTTTGATTTCATTTAATGATAATAAAATGTAAGTACCTAATTATTGTATTTTTTTAGCAATGACGAATGCATCGCCCGCCAAAAGTAAAAAAGCTAGTGAAGATAAGCCACCAAGAATTGTAGATCACCTTCAATCAGCTTTCGTCAAGGACGGTGAACCAGTGACACTTTCCTGTCGTATTATAGGGGCTAAGAAATTCGATGTAGTTTGGCTACACAACAACAAAGAAATCAAGCCTAGCAAAGACTTCCAATACACCAACGAAGCGAACGTATACAAGTTACAAATAGCCGAAATATTCCCAGAAGATTCTGGAGCTTATACATGCGAAGCTTTTAACGACGCAGGAGAGAGCTTCAGTAGCTGTACATTAGTTGTCGTAGTACCCGGTGAACAACCCAAGAGCCCCGTGTTTAAAACATTCCCGCTCTCCGCGACAGTTGCCGAGGGAGAGTCCGCAACCTTTACCGCCGAAATGGAAGACGACCCTCTCCAAATTCACTGGCTCAAAGATGGTAAATTGATAAAAGAAAGCAGCGCGAAATACGCGTTTACCGCAGACGGTAAACGTTACACATTGCAAATAGTTTCTTGTGACTCAAACGACATAGGTCAATATCAAGCAAAGGCTATTGGCAAAAAAGGAGAAACTTTCGTAGCCTTCTCATTGAACGTTATACCAGCAGGTGAAATGTAATCTCCATATGGTCAGTGAACGAACGACTTGCTCTGCAAGAACTTTTGTTTATAGATGTTTTTTGTATAAATTATTTACGATAAGTTGTTTATTTCTGTTATGTCATATAAATAAGCAGCGACGGGTTTTTCTAAGAGTGTGGCAAGTCGAAGGTCATCCCAGCATCTTCGAATTATTTAACATCTTTCAAAAGACCTTCCTCTTCCCTTCTTATAAAACTTCCAAACAGCTGAACGTAACAAAACGAAACCTTTATTTATTTATTATTTCTATGTTTCAAACGAAATTATCTATTTTAATACTAACGAAAGTGAAAAGTAAGAAAGTATCGTGTGAGGTGCTTCAGCCATATTTCATTGTTACATTATTATATATTTCAAAAATTCATAACTTATTTATGTTTCATAAATTGCATTATCGCTTTCGCACACACTATCAAAATGTATTATATAAATATAAAAATAAAAAATAAAATTATAACTTGCCTCGGTTTCTATATCATTCCTTACGTTGTACAGAAAACACATACACACATCTGCATTCATTAAAAAATCATTGTTTATTAAAATAATAAAAAAAACCAAGACGTATAACTCGAAGGGTAAAACTTCAAAGTCTTTTGTGCGCATAAATGCATTCCAAACAATTCAATGTGGTCTCATTAATAATTCCATCGATTAACATAATAAATTACCATCATAAAGCCACAACTTTTTATATTTATTTTTTGTATGTTTTAGATTACAAACAAAAACAATGAGGGTATAGTTAATAACATTGTACAATTTATATTGCAATAATTTAAAACATCAAGTAAGCACCTATAAATACACTGAGACATTTTTACTATCCTTATTTTGTTTAAGGATTTACATACACCTTGGTGATGGCTTTTTTTTAATTTGATTGTACGATTATTAAATTTTACTTTCTAACGTGTACGCTTGCCCATTTTTAAATCGAAAAATTTACCTGTAATTTTCGTCGGCAGCTACCTTTTCGAAAGGAGAAAATAGTTTTGATTGAGATCGATTTCGAGTGAAATTTAAGAAAATATTGTAATCGTAATCGAAATTGATTTCAAATTTCACCGTATATTTCTTAGCGCAAGATGTATGTAATCCTTTAAAACAAGTGTCAGCCAGGAGATCAGTCCTTGAAATGCACAAAAGGCATTACCAGTTGTTATTATTATTATTGTTGTGTGGCCCTCCTCTTGGTAGAAATACTCGATCATGTACTAATCTTCCTCTTTGATTTTGATTCTGTAACGGGTACGGTTGCCTTCCAAGGGGTTGCGAATTAGTAATGGGAAACTGACTCGAATTCAATGGGGTGCTATTGTTAACATTACCACTTCCTCGGTGTTTTTCAATTTGTTGAGCATTAATTAGCCAATAAGGCCGATTTTCTTCAGGCCACTGGTTTAGTCGGTTTACTAAATCAGCATCGCCTTTTGCATCAACTGGTAAGGGTTCAACGGGCTCGTTAGCACCAAAGCGATTATCTAAAGGTACCGCAGCAGTTGTAGACGTGGAATTGTCACCCTTAAACCTACTTGCTAAATCGGGATAACGAATGGGACGCTGTCCAGCATACATGGGACGTTGTCCGAAGACAGTAACAATCAGTGACGATACCACAAGAACCAAAGAATTCTGAAAACCGTTATCTTATTATTATTATATATGTGACCTCTAATAAGCGGCTATCAATGTTTAAACATTTTATAAAGGAAAATATTAAACCATCGATTTACAACTATAAATACTTTTTTTAGATTAACAAGGGGATTCTGCAAGCGGAGGAAGTAAAAAGAGTAAAACATATTTAAAAAACATGTTAAATAGTGTAATTACAAAATAAAAACATGACTTTATTCATTAAAATTTGTAAAAGTATTACACGATAATATTTAAAATTAAACTCGATATTATTTATTTATGTACCTAGACTGATAATTTCCTTTTTAGATTTAAAAATGTAATGATAAAATTGACTTACCATTTTTTTATATAACGTAAAATCGGTAAACACTAAGAACACTTAACTATCGAAGTTTGGGTATAACTACTGTAACATCAACTGCGTTGAACGTCTGACCCCGACGATGCGACGCTGTTCAAGTTTGATCAGATTTATAATGAACTGCTTCTTGTTGTTCTTGTTTTTATTTACCTACTAATCGTGAGCGTTGGAAAAGACGGGCAAAATCCAGTAGTACGTAAATAATAATACGGGAATTCCTTACGGATTTTCATTCAGAATATATGCCTACGGACGTATGCATTTTCTGTTCGACGACAAATTAAAAGTTTTCCGTAGGTGTAGACGATTCATAAAATATATATTCAGGTAATTCAAATGTACATCATAAATTAAAAAAGTACTCAGTCATGATATGAATAAATAAATATAATCGCTAGAAATAATGCTCTATAAAAACCCCAAATCGCTGTTCAAGATATAAATACCCTACATGATGTCAAGGTTTTCCTAAAATTGACATTAGGGAGTTCTGTTCTTCCCCAGCAAATTTTATTTTGTATCCAAATATAATGCCTTTTATAAATATGTATATCATTAAATTTGTTCGCGAACTTTCAACGATTAAAGATAAACGTTTAATTAATAAAATAAAATTAAATTAAATAAAACTATAAAAGGAGACCGTAGTGAAATAAATTACGAATGTAAGTCAAGAGGACTTACCCCAGATGCGTTGAAAATTACCACAATGTAAGAGGGACAAACAAGTGACCGCATTTTTTTAAAAGTGTTTTGGTATTTGTGGTAAATCCTCTTAGCTTAATTCCATAATAATTGGACAAAACCCGTGTCCACTTTTTTTTTCCTTAACTACTCAACCCATCACCATGAAATTTTGTACAGACATTGACAGGGATACAGACAAGGACATAGGGTACCCTTTATCCAAAAAAAAATACTGTTTCCAAGGGATAAACAAATTAATTTTATGTGGAAGTTGATGATTTTCGACACGTATTTAGATTATCAAAGCGAGTCCGGGTAAATCTTATTATGAAATTTTGTATACACGTTGCCAGGGGTACAGAAAAGGTCATAGGGTACCTTTTTATCCAGAAAAAATACTGCTATTAAGGTATAAACGAATTAGTTTTATGTGGTCGTTGATGATTGACATAATATTTAGGGCATCAACGCAAACGGAACGCGTATCCTCGTTTTTTCGGAAGTGTTATAGTATTTCAGGTAGGTCCTCTTGGTTTGATTCTTTAATAGTACTTTTGGTTTAATTTTCTAATAACTACGTTAACATATGAAGAAATTGATGTCACAATCTTCGTTCTCCTTCGATTATACTATATTAATAAAATTATCCCACTAACTTTCAAACCTGTTTCCTATTAGATATGTGTAATTTAAAATCGTTTATATGCTTCTTTTATGTCTGATGCAAGCCTGTTTATTATTTTAAAAATTTTAGGTCATCAAACTATTAATTTATTCAACTTTTCAATAAAAATAAGCTGTGGACTCATTTTTTACCATTTATTTCTTAAGAAACAACATGTTATGAAGATATATTCTAATAATGTGAAAAAGAACTTATTCAATTCATTTCTAATATTTTGCAAGGCCAGTTTAGAAATTGATATAGGTATTTATTAAATAGTGCAAAGATTATTTATATAAATTATGTTTTCATAGTATAAACAGCAAAGTCAAAGTTTAATGTATTTATGTCTCTTATCCATGGTAACAAATATATTATAGGAAAAGGAGACTGTGGTAAAGGAATAAATAAATAAATCAAAAAGAAACTCGCCTTAAATATCACAAAATTTGGTTGATAATAAAAAGTAAACGTTTTAAAAACTGCAACCAACAGTAAATAAATAATAAATTATTTTGAAAAAAATATATTTTAATATTAGTATTTAATCTAAAATTTACAGAAAGTATTTTGAATTTGATCCTGCGACTACAGACATAGAAACCTGCACGAACCATTCATGTTAACCACGAGATAGCGCTAAAGTTTAAACTGCAAGTTAAAATTCGATTACATTGCGCCAACAGATGGCGACGTATGTCTCTGAGAAGGATATAAATCAACTTTAAAGAGAGAAAGAAACCTCTCGGTGTATTCTATGTTCTGTGTCTGGTGGCAGTTCGTGAAAGCTCGTAACTAGCTCGGTTGCGGAGGAACGAAGACACAGGTGTGTCGTGTCGCGGTCATGCATTCCATAGCAATAGCAGAGCAATCTGTCAGGCAAAGGCTCGGCTCACGGAAGCCAAAACGAGTCCGTGGCTGACCTGTTTGCATTTACATCAGACGGTCATAACCGCTCCCGTACCCCGAAGATCCTCGGGGACAAAATAAACAGTGTCGTGTATGTGAGTGTTATTAAGTGTGGGAAAGGTAGTGTTAGTGCGAGTCGATTTTGGTGCCTAAAATGGCATTAAACCAAGACGAATCGAGTAAACAGGTGGTGCGGGTAGACCAAGACTCGGAGACAGACCTGCAAGCGCTATTTGATAGCGTTCTTAAACCGGATTCTAAAAGGCCATTGCAGGTGCCATGGAGCATGCGGAAGCTACCGGACTCTTTCTTCAACCCACCGTCCACGGGCTCCAAGTCTATCAATCATTCGCGTGAGAACTCTGTCGATTCCGCGTTCGGGTCATCTAGCGGGGGCGGTAGCACCACGACCGCTGCCGTCAACACGGTCCCGCTTCAAAGTGCTCACCATCGAGCTCATAGTTCGCCTGCTTCTTTACAGCAAACTTATGCCGTTGGACAACAACAAACTGCTGCTACACACCACCACATCAAGCAACGTTCCTACGACGTAGCTAGTAAATCGGATGATACCACCCCTTTGCCTCCCGGTTGGGAACAAGCCCGCACCCCGGAGGGACAGGTATATTACCTCAAGTGAGTAGTACCAAGTACCTGCTCTTCTGTCTTCACCCGTCTCGTCCCCGACCCCTGTACCGCGGCGGCTGTGCGGCCTACAGCCGCCGCCGATGGTTTCTCAGATGAACAGAAACAGACATTTCTAATTCGGGAACGGTATTACCTGCATCAAGTCGGCCAACGTTTACGTTGTAATTTTGGTATCCAAACTGCGTTAAAAGGGCGACTGTCTACTTGTATACCTACATATTCAAAAAAAGAACATCTAGCTCTATCTACTTACATATCTGCTACATAATGTCTGCCGCTATTAATAACATCTATTTCTATTACCTACCAATGAATATTACATGAAATAACATTATATTATTTTTATTTAACGAATAAAACTATTTAAAACATTGAAAGTCTTTTCCGTTTTATTTACTTAAAACAAGATCCAATTTTTGTCTTTAAAAACTTCCAAACTTTTCTTCTAGCCAGCGTTATTAACAGCTGATTAAAAAAAAAAACGTAATTATTGGAAACAACGCCTTTTATAAAACGCTTTAAAAAGCTTTTGATTTAATTAATAGGACAAAAAAGAAAACAAGTAGGCAGTTTCCCCATAACTCTTTATTTGATTCAGTTCCATGTTTTGGTTTTTTTTGCACGATCCTGAACTGGTTTGTAACGGTGTGTGTGTGTGTGTGAGTATGTATTTTGAAACCACGATCTGGTTTATGCGAAGTCCTATTATACGAACGTATTCTATACTAAACAAAATTTGCCAAACTTTATAACAACATGTCCGAGTTTCTTTCCTTGATTTATAATATTCAAACATTAATTATATTAAAACGCCTAAATTCAACCTAAGAAATTAATGTCAAACGCCTCTGTACATTTGGTGGCATTGCCCACCATTATGAAGGTCATCATCTGTACTAATTAATCCACACTAATCAAAACAAACGATTTCCAGAGTAAATCGACAATAAAATATTCAATTACAAACTAGACAGATCGTTGCTTGATGCATTATTTTTTAACATATTTTAAATGCATTCTCTAATCGATAATAACGCTAGGAATTATGGATCAAACAATCAAATTCTCCTCAAAGTAAATGCAATGTAATCCTACCTTCACAGTCGGATGATCTTGTAGCCTAGCCCGTTGTCCTTACGTTTATAGTTCCGTAGATTTCCATTATCAGCACTTTTCAGTCATATAACACTACACGGGTACGCACGAATTCTTCTGATATACTGAGTGAGAATTTATCAAAACTTCTTGAAATATTCTACTCTTATTTATCTGATTTACAAATCGACCTCGAGCTGCAAAAAAAGAGAAAAAAATTAGTTATCTATCCTTTAATATATAAAACATTGTTATGAGGAGTTTGTTTACCGTTACTGTAATAAATATTAAAACTCACACAAAGGAAAATAACTGCCCTCCTGACAATTTGAAAAAATTTAATTACTACTCTAAACATAATAAAATTTCTGACACCTCTTAAAAAATACACCAACCTATATAGGTAACGTACCTACGTTTTTTAGAAACATTTTATCATTTTCATTATACACTAGTGGCGAATTGAGAACCCTTATTCTACTACTACATGTAATCACTCGAAAGGGCGACATCATTTTTGAAAATACGACGCGATAAAGGATAATTCGTACAAATACCTTCAGTCTTTTCATATAAAAAAATAAAGTAAAGTAAGTCCTATAAATGCAATTTAAAATTTAAAGCTTCTGACGGGTACTACGGTTTGTTCAAAAAATTCTGATAGATCAGTCAGTTTAATACAGTTTTCATAGGGACAGGTAATATTTTTAGGTAGATGTGGTTGAAAAAACATATTCCACACGTTCACTAAAACTTGTGCGACATTAAGAAAGAAAAAATGCCGACAAAGAAATGTGCAATTATTAATTTATTCTTTAGAATATTACATTATGTAATGAACTAAACTTCATAAAGCTGACTTCAGTTGGGTACCTAAGTATATGAAGGTGCAACATAAGCATTTTTGAGAGTAGTAGTTGTAGGTACCTAACCGTATATCAGTATATAACGGTAAAAAGTGCAGTAATGCATTAAAAATTTTCTTCTGATGAACATGATCTCTAAAAAATAAGTAACCCGAAGTTGTATTTATTAGTATCTATGTACAACAGACTACTAATTGATAAGTATGTATGTTATTTGAGAATAGATACCAAAACGAACAGCAAGGCGTATAAGCTGCACTTTTTAAAATCAATTTCATACAATACAACATTTTGGCGTGTTAAATTTTGCTTCCACAAGAAATTAGCTGACGAGACAGATATTTTTAGATTTTAAAACTCTAGGCGCCTCTGTCGGACATCGAACTCTCCAAGAAGCTAACAAAATAAAGAACCAATTTAAACTTAATAAAACTGTTTATTAAAACACATATTGTGATTTAAAAAACTGCTATTTTCCTTAAAAATTGCTAAGTACCTATATAGCAGTCATATTTATCACATATGTTTACGGCCCTACTTTAACAAAAACAAGGACGATTTTAAAGTCCTAAATAAAATGTGAAATGGTGTGTTTATAATCAATTAAAACACGAAAAAGATTACATACAAGATTAGCTAAAATGCCTAATAAAACTAAAATTAATTAATTATCTCTAATATTTGGAGTATCCCAAATTGTGAATTATAGATTTATTTGAATGAGTCATATTTAATTTACTCTAAGTTATACAAATACAATTTAAGATTCGGCCTCCATTGAGTGTGAAAAAGGCGCTTGCCCAGCTGATGGATATTTGTACTTTGAACTTTTATAGTAGTACAAATCTGACATTGTACATTATGTGTATATGTATGTGTATGTTTAGTAGCAACTATGAATTGAAAACAATCACACGATTCCTCACTAACTTACCTAGACTTATTAATAGAATTAAATGAACCAACGTAGCATAGGCGCCTTCAAGACTATTGCGTAGACTTTTGCAGATCGTATATAATTAGCTAATTTTAAAACATAAAGATTAAAAAGAAATGCAGTTAGGTATATGCCGAAGATAAATCGATAATTTTTAGTTTTCACTAAATTGCTGAAAAGGTAATTCCTATGACTATCACGATTTTATTATTAATTCCAATTTTCTATTTTTACACAAATTATTACCTTGAATAAACAACCACAATGATTGACAGTCAGCAGCGGTTTTCCTTAAGAGAAAACTTTTTTTTTTTTTAATAAAACAATAAATATTGTTTTAACTAGGTACATTTTATATTGAATGCGTTGTGCATTATTTTTGGATGAGGGGTATAATACCTCAGAGTATTGTAAAAACTTGGCATATTTAATACTTATCACATAGGTAGTTTATATTTATGCAAGTTACGCAAGATCATTAAAATCTGTTCTTGTGGACTAATCAGGCATGTGATTTAATACACGAACAAATGGTAATAATGTGGCTTCAATATTATCAGCAGGTTAAATGATTTCTTGTTTTGCGTGAGTGAAAGTACGAGTGTGCTAAAGCTAAAATGAATAGCGTTTTTTATTTCTTCAACAAAATAAATACCTATTGTTCTTTATTAAGATAAAAGCATAAGAAACTAACCAGGTTAGGTATCTAGGCATTCAGTGATAAAGAAAAATTATAAAACAAAAAAATGTTTGTAGCAAGTGCCTAGGTACAATACATCATAATCATAGGCAATTTTGCGTCGATTCCAAAGGCAAGTCGTTTTTATTTTGCTATACGTATGCATGGTAGCTAAATTTATTCTATTTTCCAATAAATTTGTATATTTATCGTTATTGTTTTGGCATATCTAATACATACATATGTGTTCACAGTTGCAGAAAATGTTCACTTTTTCCTAGTGTAATTTTATACCTCCTCACTTAATACTTGCTAAAAGTCAATGTTAGTAAATACATATATGTTCTTATGTGCTTGTACGTATTTCTGAGAAATAGGAGAGAAATTTTGCAGTTGTTTGTATTACACAGGCTATGACTCATTTTTCATTCACAACTTCGCCAACTTAGATTTGTACGTATTCGTTTTGTTCAAAAAATACACGCATAACGCCATGTTACGGCGGCATTTATAAGAATAAAAAAAAATTATAAAACAACAGATACCTGCCTAAATATAACAAAAATATATTGTTTTTAAGATTCGACGCAAAAAATTAACTTTTTACTAAGCTACTCCAAAGTTGACAAATGAAATTTAAAGTTGGTTTATTGATTGATCGGTTAATGATAAGATTTTTTGTGAAACACAAAATATTATATACGTGAATTTGGCATATCTATTTCATGGTTAATAAATGAATATATAAACATTATGCATTACACACATTTGTATATATATTTGCCAGAACTTTCACTTGATAATTTATGAAAATAATTAATTTTAGAGTACCATTAAGTAATGATTTATTTAAATGTTTGCCTAAATTAAGCGGGACAAACAGAAGAATAAAATTTTGATCATAATGACTTAATTGAAATTTGACGATTTTATTATTGTTATTGAAAATGAAAATATCGTAGAAAACATTATTTTCAGAAATTTATTAAACATTTTCAGTGAAATTTAAACATTGTCGTTTCTTCATTTACTATTATGTAACTTTGGTTTAAATAGGAAAATGAATGAGTTATTAAAAACTTATTTTCTTTAAATTATTATTGACTGCGTTGTAAGAGATAATCAATCTTATTTTCAACTGTGGTACCTACTGTCCATGCCAAACACAACATTATTACTTGCCTCAAGGCTTATTCACATTTAAACTGGTCATTTTTTTTTAAATGGAACTACCTCATTAAATCAAATTTATTTTTTTTAAACATTAAAATAGAAACCGTCAATTTAATTTTCCAAATTACTGCATTTGAGTAATTTATGTTCATGTGAAATAATAAATTGCTTGCCATAAATAAATAGTATTTTAAAAATCAGTACGGTTCCTACCTTCTATTGAAAATCGTATTAATTTTTGTACGTATCTATTTTCAAGTAAAAATGATAAATAAATAACATGAAGTTAATGTTTTCAATTAACCAGATAATACGATTATTTACTAGAACAGAAATTATAAAAATAAATTTAACTTGA